GACAGACCACAAAACCAGGCTGCATGGGCACCATCTGGTGCCAGGGTCCTGCAGTTCTCAGTTTCAGCACAGCAGGGACATCTGAGTATTTGGGCGCTAGGGCATGAGGTCCCTGAGCACTGCCCACAGAAGTGGGCTCACATGGCCCCTTACAGCAGAGGAAACCCAGAGAACCCACTGACTGGCTAAGAGGGAGGATCAAATTCATACCTTTTCACCTTTGGTGATCGAAGTCAAGCTGCAAAAATGTTCTTTCTTCTTTAATGAAGGGTGACATGTTCATCATAACAGTGAAGTAGAGGGGGAACCAATAGTCAATGCTGACTGTGGAGGGGGCACATTACGGCATGTTAATGAAGGAAATAAAGGTTACCCAAGTCCCACTGAGTGATAATCATCAATGTTTTGCAGATATGATTATTTTCTTGTCTTTTCTCTTCTGTTCTTTTCTCTTTTTTTTCCTTTCAGTGCACACAATAAAGTACTCAGGTATACCATCCCCACCCTCAAATTCACAGCCTGACTATAATTCTGTGCCCCAGCTTAGGACTTTTTCTCCACTTAATATACTAAGAAGAGCATCTCCCACCTCTCTGCTCCCTTCCCTGCTTCAGTACCCAGCAAAAGAGGGGGGGCTGGCCTATCAGACATGAGGTTCTGGGTTCCATGGTCAGCACCAGAAAAAATATGTGGGCCAGCCAAGAGTATCCAGGCATTCAGACAGCACAAAAGAGACAGGGAGCCCCTTTAAAATACAGGTTCTGAACCTTGCTCTGAGCCCAAAATACCCCCCTGAGCATACTCCCCAGGGCATCAAGATGGATCATGAATTTGGGGAGCACTTTCTTAGCGCTGTGTGCTTGAATATGGCTATCCAGGCTTAGATGGAGCCTTCAAGGGAGTAGCCAGGGCCAGAGATTCCAGCTTCATTATGATGACAGATGATTGGCAGGCAGCAAGGGGTGGGAGTATTCTAGTGTGCAGATCTCTTTTGCTGAGACTGATGAGAACAAATATTTCTGGGGTGAAAGAAGATCATCACTAGGCTACACACCTGTCAGTATCTCATGGTCTGTTCCATGGCACGGTTCGACCCAGCTCCCTACAGAGTTTTATCTTGGTTTCACATCTTTGGCTTAGGGGCTTTCCACATTGGCTTAGCATTTGGGGCTGTGGGGAGGATGTCCACACAGGTAGTAGTAAGATGACCCATTTATTCCAGAGCTCAGGTCCGAGAAAGAAGACAACCCCGGCCCTCTTTTACTACTTTCCTCACTGTTCAGTGTCAAGGGCTCCAAGCATCTGAATAACAGTCTCTAGTTGTGGATCTGTAAGCCGTTTGCTGCCTCTGAAGGATGCTCCTGAGACCCACCCTGAACTATTGTGTTCATGGGGCCTGCAGTACTGAATGGGAAAGTGCCCAGCGTTCTGGCAGGGCAGTTACCATGTGGAGTTGCATGCCGAGGAATCTATACCTTTATTATCCAAGAAAAGGCAAAAGACCATTTGTTTCCTTAGCTGACCACACTGCAGTTTGGACTGGAATCTTCTATCACACATTCTCTGTCTGAGCCTTGTTGGCAAAGTCAGACACTGGGTAGGAAGTCACTGGAGGTTTGTGGTAAACAAGGACGATTTGACAAAGTAGTCAATAGATGCTAGCCACTGCTATGTGACCTCTGAAAACCTCTCACCCTATCTTTGCCCTGACACCCAATAATGGGATGATATGGCTTAAACCTGAAATCCTGCTCTTGGCTCATGTGGTGAATGTTTGGTCCCCTGCTGGGGATGCTACTGTGGGAGACTGTGAAACCTTCAGGGGGAAGTAGGTTGCTAGGGGCAGGTCTCTGAAAGTTATACCTTCCCCTGGTCCCTACTGCACTTTAAATCCTGGTCCATTGCGATGTGAACAGCCTACTCCACACCATCCCACCACCATGGACTGAGCAACTCCACTCTGCTTCCCACCAGATGGACAGAGATCCTCTAAAACCATGAACCAATATAATTGTCTCTTCTTTTAAGTTGCTTCTGTCAGGAATTCTGTAGGGAAAGTAACTCTGACGGGTAGGAACAAAATCCATTTTCTGGCTGAGGCAATTGATGAGGAAGTTAATAAGTGGGAACAAGACTGTTGACCAAAAAATGTCACTGTGCCCTACCCATCCCCGTCCTTCCTTCATGGTTTCTCTACTCCAGCCTATTCTGAAGGTTCTTTAAAACTGTGAGACCAACTTGCCAAAGGAAATTAAATCCAACAACCCAAACAAACAGAAGAGATAAACGCAGGCGTGTTCAGGCAGAAGGGGTCTGGGGCCTCACAGCACCCCCTCGAACTGGCTCTGTGGTGCTCCTGGGGTGCCAGGAAGTACGGTTCAGCAGCCATAAGTATAGCCCCTTATTTTCCAGATGAAACAGAATCACACAGAGACCAAAACTGAATCACAGAGAGACCAAAGCCAGGGCTGAAATTCTGGCATGTGGATCCAACACTAAGAGTTCAGTTGATTGTTGTTAGATTCTCTCTCTCTCTCTCTCTCTCTCTCTCTCTCTCTCCTTTGCATATTCATCTGTGTATGCATGTACATGTGTGCAGGTGTGTGTGTACATGTGTACAGAGGCCAGAGGACAATCTTGGGAGCTGTCCGACTTGTTTTTGAGGCAGGGCCTCTTGCTAGCCTGGAGCTTGCCAGGTATGCTAGGCTGGGCGGCCATCGAACCCCAAGGATCCTTCTGTCTTCACCTCCTCAATACTGGGCTTATAAGCACGTGCCATCACTCCTGGCTTTTTTTTTTTAACTTGGGTCCTAGTGTTTTCAAGATAAGCACTTAACCGCCAGCTCCTCAGTCCTCTCCCCACCTTTTTCTCAAGGCTGACCTGGAGCTCGCTTAATTGCTCAGGCTGCCATTAAACTCCTGATCCTCCTGTCGGAGCCTTCAGAATGCTGGAATGGCAGGTGTGTATACCACCCTGCCCAGTGGGAAATATAATAATGGAGTGTCTCTTGGTCTTTTGTCCCATCCACAGGGAAGAGAAGTGTCTGAGGTAACTGTGTGCAGCTGAATTCTGACCAATGAGTGAGTCCCTTGGTGTGGGAAAGGTGTGGAAACAGACTAGGGTGAGATAGGATAGGGCTGCTTGAAGGGACCCAGCACTGCTTGGCATGTGGCTCTGTGTGTGGCCGTGTGATGTGGCAGTTATGAACAGGGACTAGAGAGCCAGACCACCTGCCTTTGGTTGTGTGTCCTAGGTAAGTCATTTAGTCTCTCTGTGCCTCTGTTTCTCATTGAATAAATGGGAACAAGAAAATAGATGATCCACAACCTGTCCTGGGATTACAGCAGGGTAAATCCATCATAAGCTGAAAATGTCACAAATGGACAATGAGAATAGTTTGCCTAGCCCACTCTATATCCCAGCTCAATTACCCGGAGCAAGGTCAAGGGTGATTATTTCCTCTCATGATCATGGGGCAGGCAGGAGCTGGGTCTACTACTGCTGCCCCTGGTCCTGAAAGAGGATCATACCATGCATTGCTTCTAGGAAATGACCAAAATTAAAAACAGAAGGATAGTTTATGGCTTATTATTTTTATCTATTTATTTATTTTGTTTTCTTTAAGACAGGATCTCATGTAGCCGAGGCTGGCCTCAAACTCACTATGTAGCTAAGGATGACCTTGAACTTCTGATCCTCCTGCTTCCACTTCCCAAGTGCTGGGATAAGACATGTGCTCCACCATACCTGGCTTATGTGGTGCTGAGAATCCAACTCCGTGCACATGACTTTGTGCATGCTAGGCAAGCACTCTACCAACTTGTCTACATTCCCCGCCCAGGATAGCTTTTAATTGAATTGAATATCTTTGGAGCTGTTGTAAAGTAGAAAATTCTTAAACCTAGGACAAGAATTTGCTCAGCAAATCGACAGAGAGCTGACCTCAGTGCCTGTCGCACAGCAAGTACATTCAGTTCAGCCGCTACGATCCCTCTAGGGGGTCTGAGGCCGCAGGCGCCTTGCTCCACTTTCTGCCTCCGCCCCCCATAGAAACAGTCTCCAGGGAGTGGTGGCTGAGGAGGCTGTGAATGGCCTGCACCTAGGTGCTGCTGTCATCCCACAGTGTGACCTGAGTGTCACCTCAGAGGCTCTGTACCCACAGTCTGCTTTGGGATCCTCTCTGAAGGGAACTCAGGGAGAAACTGCTGTCTATGTCCAGAGTGAGGCTGTAAGCCCTTTGGGCTTGGTTTGTTTGCTGTTGCTTTTGTTTGGGCTTTTTGTTTTGTTTTGGTTGTTGTTATTTTGTTTTGTTTGAGATAAGATCTCACTCTCTAACCCTGGAACTGACTTTGTATCTCCTATCTCAGACTGACCTGGAACTCACAGCAATCTTCCTGCCTCAGCCTCCTGGGTGCTAGGATTACAAGTGTGAAGCTTTTCACTAGCTGGGACAGTAGATCTTCATTTGAGGGAAGGGTAAAGAGGAGACTTGAAGTTGGTGGGTGTCCCAAAACCCCAAACCCCAAAACCCCTACAGGTGCTGTATTCACACTTATGACTTCATCATCTGACATGAGCCTGGATCCACAGCATCAAGCAGCACCTGTATGGGGCTTTCTAGAAATCCCACCTCAGACCTTTGTCTCAGAATCTGCGTTTTGACAGGCACCTACGATGTACTTAGTTTGGAAACATTATTTGGAAATGCCTGTGATGATAGCTAAGGGCAGGTATTGGGTTTCAATTAGCTACAGATGCAGAACTCTGAACACAGCTCCTTAGAGGCCACTTGAGAAAGGAAGGACCAGAGCCTGGGTCCCCAGCACAAGGGGCTCCACATTCTTAAAGTACAGATGTGCATATTCCTTTTCCTGGAGGAGGCTCCACAGCTAGAGTCAGGTGCTCAAGGACTTAGAGACACAGAGGCTGTTGCTGCGACACTGGGATGTGCTGGGGGACCTGGTCCTATGAGTTCTTACTGTCCTGTCTCTGCCTCCAGGCGCCTGGTGGACCGCCTGGAGAACATGAGGAAGAATGTGGCCGGTGATGGCGTGAACCGCTGTATTCTGTGTGGGGAGCAGCTGGGCATGCTTGGCTCTGCCTGCGTTGTGTGTGAAGATTGCAAGAAGGTACCAGTGCACTGCTCCCCTCCTGCCCTGCCTGACACCTGCACAGGGTCAGGGGTGGAGGACACTGGACTGTGGCTCTAGGAGCCTGGCGTCTGAAGGATGGAGCCTGACTCCTGAAGGGCAGTTGGCAAACTATGAATTCTGCAGGATAGTCCCATGATACCTGCTGTCTCCAAGGTCACCCTGGACCTGGTTACTCCCCCAGACGTCACTCTGGTCCTTATAGCCTGCGTTCCTTTAGAGCTGAGCTCTGTGCAGGATAAATTCTGGAGCCTAGGGCAAGGCATGGGCTTTGTGGAGCCCACAAGGATCCTGGTTATGGGCTCATTAGCAAGTGTGTGTCATCTGAAGAGCAGCCAGGCATATGTATACATGTGTGTGCGTGTGTGTGTGTTCATGTTACCCTGGATCATGTACAAGAGCTTTTGAAAACCAGAACAGGCAAGACAGCTCAACAGGAAAAATCAAACATGACAACCTGAGTTCAATTTAGCTCTGTAAAGTTCTCTCTCTCTCTCTCTCTCTCTCTCTCTCTCTCTCTCTCTCTCCCCTCTCTCTCCCTCCCCCCACTAGTAAAAATTTTTAAAAGAGAGACTTAGAAAGCCTCTTTCCAGCCAACTTGGACCCCTTGGGCTTCCAGAGTATTCATTCCTGAAGGAAAGCCTTCCTGAGCTCTCATCACCCTCCCTGTCTCCCCTAACTGCATGCAACCTTTCCAGTACCAGATACCACTGTCTTTGGGCTGCCTGATCACATGCAGGGAATTCATTAAACTACCCAGCTGGTGATATCCATGGTGCCACCTGGCATCTCCTGCCCTGTGGTCCATCTAGCTATAGAATGCAGTATTGGGGAAAGTTGATCCACTCTGAAGACACATCAACTGCTGTCAGTAGGATAGAGAATTTTGTGCACTCAAAGATTTTTTTCCCCTGACTGCCAGGAAGATACCACTGTGCTGTGTGGCAGTTATTCAGATAGTGTCCTTCTGAGGGAGCTGGACTTGTGGTCATAGCTAAGATGGTCTCAGATTCTCTGGGAAAAGAAAGAAGAAATAAGCAATAAACAAAAGAGATATATTGGCCTTTCCTCTTAAAATTTAGCCAGTGGCCTCCTCTGTGTAGGTGAGACCTGTGGAATGGATTCTTAGAAGATTTCTTCATCTGGTGATTGGGAAAGAACTGAGCTCTTGCCATGGAAGCAAGACTCAAATTGGAACTTTATTCTAACTGGCCTTGCTTGTGGAAGGAAGAGAGAGAAAACATCACATGTTCTAGTTCTTTCTATCCCCCAAGAGATCTTGGGCTCCACTGCCACCCTCCCCAGTTTCTTTTCTTCAGTAGCTCAGAGCATGACTCACATGTGTGTTCTTTGTCCCCAGAACGTATGCACCAAATGTGGGGTGGAGACCTCCAACAACCGCCCCCATCCAGTATGGCTCTGCAAGATCTGTATTGAGCAGAGAGAGGTGAGTGACCCTGTTTCTACTCTGGTGGCACTTGAAGGCTGGGTAGGAAAGGATCCAGCAGAACTGGGGCCAGGGCTCAGTGGATAGAGTGCCTTCTTAGCATGCAGAATGCCCTGGGTTCCATCCCCAGCGTAGCTCAAACTGGGCATGGGATGCACATCTGCAATCCCAGCACTCAGGAGTTACAGACAGAAGGATCAAGAGTTCAAAACCATTCTCAGCTGTATCTGAGACCAGCTTGGGCTATATGAGGCAGCAGCTATATCCTGTCACCTCCACCTGTCTTCCAGCCTGGTTGCATTTCTGTCTCAAAGAGGAAAAAATAATAAAAGGAATGAGGTTGGCTAGTGAACTGACAGTTTCCTGGCATGCAGTTTCCCTTCCTGAGCACCTGTGATGCCCTCCCTCCTTTCCCCTTTGTCACCACCCTGGAGCTTCCATTTTCCCCATCTCTCACCTTCTTTTCTTCCCCTTTTCTTTTTCTGATGTGTGTGTGTGTGTGTGTGTGTGTGTGTGTGTGTGTGCACTTGCCCATACGTGCACATGTGGAGGCTGCAGGTCACTGTTGGCTGTCTTCCTCTATTGCTCTTCACCTTGTTTTTTGAGGCAGGGTCTCTCACTAAATCTGGAGCTCATGGTCTGGCTAAACAGGCTGGTCAGTGAGTGAGCCCCCAGGATCTTCTGACTCTGCCCTCCCAATACTGGGGTTACAGGCATGGACTGCCACACCTGGTTTTATGTGATGCTGGGGATCTGAACTCAGACCCTCATGCTTGCACAGTGAACACTTTACCCACTGAGCCATGCCCCCAGAACTCCCAGCGTCTTTCCTCCTCCTCTCAATAGTTTCTTCCTCTCACACCCTCCCCCTCCCGTGTTATTTTCTGTACTCATCTTGCTGCGTCCTTTTCCCCCGCCCCCTCCTCTGCCTCCTCCACTCTTTACCCCCTTTTCTCTGCACTCTCTCTGTATTTTCTCTCTGTCTCTTTCTCCTCCAGAATCCTTCTCAAAACCAAAGGGGTAGCCACCTCGACTCTATCCCCTCCATGCCTACAAGCTCTGCCATACTCTGCTTGACTGAACAAGCCTGATGACCAAGGTCAAGGAAGCCCAGTTACTATGGCCCACACTGGACAACCCTTAGGCACAGAAGAGTGGGAACGTGCTCTGACAGATATCCACACATTGCCTTGGCTAACTTGTAGGGTACAATCAGGACCTGAGGTCTTGGGGGAAGTTGAAGAGGATTAGATCACCTGTTCTGTTTTATCTAGAGACAAGGTCTCATGTAGTCCAGGATGGCCTCAAACTTGCTGTGTAGCCAAGGATGACTTTGAATTCCTGTCTTGTCTCCACCTCCCAAATGCTGGGATTATAAGTATGTGTCCCTATTTAGAACAAGTGGAGGGCCACAGTTATGAGATGGAAGACTTAGCACTGCTCTTCCTTTCCCTGGCTGCTGGACTGATCCTTTACTTGGTCAACACTTGACTCTCTCCATCAGTAAAATGGCTGTCATCAGACTGTACCAAGTTTACAGGGCTGACGTGTGGAACAGAGATGCACTGGCTGCCAAACCCAAGTGCTGTGGGAGCAAGGATGAAAACCGGCTGATACCGGTAGGAGCACTGGTGTCTGGCTGCCATGTCTCCCACTCCTGCCTCTCTCCCTCCCCAGGTCTGGAAGCGATCAGGAGCTTGGTTCTTCAAGGGCTTCCCCAAACAGGTTCTCCCTCAACCAATGCCTATAAAGAAGACCAAGCCCCAGCAGCCTGCTGCCGAGCCTACCACCCCGAAGCAACCCACACCGGAGCCCAAGCACACAACCCGCGCTCCAGCTGGAGGTAAAGTAAACGACCTCTTCTTTCAGCACCAAGGATAGCTCACGGCCACTTGGTCTACCTGGAGGAGGCCTAACATCACACCTGCAACCGAGATAAGGCTACCAATCAGTTTCTGGTCTCATATCTAGGAGTCCTTTGCCCCTTCACAGCTCACTGTAAAACTTTATCAGGAGGGTAGCACAGGGAACTTTCTAGGAAAGCCAATTTGCCAAGTGGCTTTACTGTCTTCCCTAGAGGGATATTTAGAAGTTCAAAAGAAGAAGAAATTAAAATTGGGAATTGGGAGAGACCCCCCTCATTTAAATATACCCTGGAGCTTGGGGGACTTGGGGTTGGCTGAAGAGGCTTTCCTGGTTACTTGTTTCCTCCTCCTCCCCCGCTCCTTGTCCTCATCATCACCCTCATCCTCTTCCTCCCCCCATCATCTTCCTCCTTCTCCTCCCTCTCCTCCCCCTCCTCCCTCTCCTCCTCTTTCCTTACTTCTTCCCCTCCTCCTTCTCCTTCTCTTCTTCGCCCTCCTCCACTTCCTCTTCTTTGTGAGAAGAGTTTTATGTAACCAGGCTGGTCTCAAATTCACTTTATGTTTGAGGGTGACCTGTCTCCTGCCTCTACCACCCCAGTGCTAGGGTTATAAGTGTGTTCTACCAGGTCTGGTTTTCACTTGCGTTTCTTCTATCAGCTGTAAACAATTCTGAAATTGGACTAATTAAAAGTGAAAGACGAATAGAAATGAGGTTAGCAAAAGAAAGATTACCACTGCCCTTGATAGCATTATGTTTTCCAAGTATGATTATGAATAATTAAAATGATAATTAAAAGAGAGAAAAGTAGCACCATAAAATCACATTTTCATTGGATAGCACTGCTTAGACTGGCCAGATAAAGCCCTTGTAATAACCTCAATTAGCACTGGGCAGTTGCTGATTGGAACAGCAATTCTGGGGTTGAACATGGGCATTACTTCTCAAAGAGGGTTATAGTTGCAGGGTCCAAAACTTGTAACATCCAGATGGGTCTCCATCGATGACTTCTCAAAGTATCTCTCACGGGGCCTGACAACAAAAGTCATTCTTCCCAGAAATTTCTGGACAATTTCCACTCCTTGAAGAGTCACCAAGTTGCCACCAGATACTGCATCCCTCTGGAGGGTACCGTGCCCACCAACAGAGAATCCTTCCTTCAGGTCAGATTTTACTCCTCTGCCAGGTGTGTCCAACCTCAGGCCACATGCAACCCAGAACAATGATGAATATGACCCAACACAAAACTGTAAACTTATTTAAAATTTTAGGAGAAATTTGGGGCATTTTTTAACTTGACTGCACTGTTCCAGAATGTGGATTTTCTATATAATAATGTCATGTCACAATGTCAAAACGTTGGATGTGCCTGCCAGTCTAGGCAGAAGTGACTGTCCATGGTCTAGCCAATGGGTGCTCCTGTCATCAAATGTGCAAAGGAAATAATAGATTATAAATGAGCCACCTGGGGGAGGGGGAGATTGGAAGGAAACTTAATTTTTCAAAAAATGTTCTTGGCAAGACTTAGTGAGCCCCTTGAGGGCTTCTGAGGTAAGAACTTTCCAGACCCCAGAAAACTAGTGCTTCTCATTATTTCTCTCTCTCCAGGTGACACAGAAGACAGGAGGGGCCCAGGTCAGAAGCTAGGTAGTTACTGCCAACTGTCTCCCACTGTGGGACCCCTGTCTTCACCCTCCGTTCTCTGTTCAACCTATGTCTTTCCTCATAGGCTCTGACCTTCCCTCTGCTCCTGGGCGAGGAAGCTATGGGCCCCCCATGCGCAGAGCCTCTGAGGCTCGAATGAGTGCATCCGCCAGGGATTCTGAGGGCTGGGACCACGGCCAAGGTGGAGGTGCTGGAGATGCCAGTCGGAGCCCAGCAGGTGAGGAAGATGGGCACATTCGGTCTTTATTGAGCACCTACTGTGTACCATGTTTTCCTTCAGACACCCATTCTGGTCTGTGGTAGAGGAGAGACAGGATTCACAACCAATTTTGACTCCAGACATTTGTATTGTGTAGTTGTTGCAATTATGGTCTCTTTTTGCAGTAACATCATAAGTAAGAAACCCATGAACTTTTGCCTTGCTTGACCCTCTCCCCCAAATGAGGGGAAAGGTTATTCAGCTTCAAGCAAAACTCCATGAAGCTCTTTCCCCTGTGGCCTCTGCTGTGAGTGACAGCATGCAGGTCATGTGAACAGGATGTCCCTGACGCTGTTTCCATCAGAGTCTAGCTCCTCAGGGACGATCAGAAGTGGATTATATGGTGCTAGTGCCCACTGGTGGGAGTCTTGACCCCTTGACTTTGAAGACAAGGCCTATTAGGCTGGGTGTGTCTGTGTCCTCTCAGCCTGTCTCCAAGCAGCAAGGCAGCATTTCTATTGTCATGATGAGTGGCTGAGTCTCAGTCTGATGGCTGAATGTTCAGGGGCCACATTGACCTCTGGTGTCTGCCCCTCTCCTCTTCTGGGTCTCACTATGTAGTCCAGGCTAACCTTGAATTCCTGATTCTCCTGTCTCAATCTCATGTGTGCGCTTCCATGCCTGGTTGGGTCATCACGCTAAACTGTGGTATGTGACTGTGTGATTCTCATCTGACAAATGCATGACATAAACTGTCTAAAAGGAGGCAAGATGAATTTAGCTCATGGTTTTTGGCTTTCAGTCCATCCTGGAGGGGAGGGGTGGTGGAGCAGTTCACATGGTGGCAGACAAGAAGTGACCTAGTTCCTCCAGTGAGGCCCCACCTCCTAAAGTTCCCACCATCTCCCAAATAGTGCCACCAGCTGGAGACCAGGTGCTGAACACAGGTGCCTGTGGCGGCATCTCAGAATCAAACAGGCTTAGCTCCTCAGTTCCCTTCTTTCGTGGGAACAGAGCTGGGCTCATACCATCTGCTGCTCAGGTGGACAGGGGAAAGACACCTAGGCCTGACCACCCATGCACATTGATAAAGTGCTTACTATGTACTAGACACTTCTCCCAGAGTACCTCAGTACATCCTTGCCACAGGTCCAACACCCAGACATGAGAGTTCTATAATCCTCACTCTACCGATGCAAAAACTGAGGTTAGAGAGGCACAATCTCCACTTGGCCTCATTAACTCAGCTGATAATGGCTCAAAATGAGAACCAACACCATGTCTATCCAGCACCAGAGTCTGAACCTCATTTTGTCCTTCTGAGGTGAAGTTTTTATTTTCATTCTTTGGCTATGCTTTTTTATTTTGGAGACACCACATACATATTTATTATATAAAATTTATTATTTAACATTGTTTAAATATAATTCAGTGGCATTAAGCACCCTCAGACTGATACACAGCTGTCACCACCACCCTCTTCAGAACTTTCCATCATCTCAAACTGAGACCTTGGATCCAGGGAACGATAACTCCCCTTTGCCCCAGTGCCCTATCCCCCAGTGCCCACTACTCTCGCTCTGTCTCTGTGAATTTGACACATTTAGGTGAAATCACCCAGTGTTTACTTTTTTGCATCTAGCTTACTTTACTCAGCACAGCAGCTTCTGGGTTCAGTCAGTTGTAGTATGTGCCAGAATTTCCTTCCTTTTTAGAGGTTATATAATATTCCATCATGTGAACATACCACATTTTCATTTATCCATTCAGTCCAAGGGCATTTAGGTTGTTTCTACCTCTGGCTTTTGTGAATTGTGCCACTTATGGACATCACAAGTAAATATCTATTCAAGCCTTTGAGAAGATGCCTACAAGTGGGACTGCTGCACCATTGGGCTATTTGTGTTATACTTTTTAAAGGAACCACCATACTGTTCTCTCTGTAGGTTATACTTCTACTTTCCTGACAACAGGACACAGGGTCCATTTCTGTACACCTTTGCCAGCCCTTGTTATTGTCTGGGTTGTTTAGGTTTTTGTTTTTCTGTTTTGCTTACTTGGTTTTTGTGAGGGTTTTTTGTTTGGAGGGTTTTGGGAGGTGGTTTTTATTTTGAGATAAGGTGTCCCTGTAGCCCCAGCTGGTCTGGAACTTGGTACGTAGACAAGGCTGGCCTCAGTTGCATAGAGATCTGCCTGCCTCTGCCTCCTGAGTACTGGGATTAAAGGCATATGCCACCATGCCCAGTGATTGATAGATTTTTGAAAGATGGTTTCCATGTGTAACCAGGTTGGCCTGGAACTCATGGTAATCCTCCTGCCTCAGTCTCTTGAGTGTTATGATTTCAAGCACGAGCCAACACACCAGGCTACTGATTTTTCTTGTTTGTTTTTTTTTGGTTGGTTGGTTGGCTCTAATTACTACCTACCCTGATGGGTGTGGCTTGGTAACTCAGTGGGATGATGTAGGTGTGATTGGCATTTCCCTAACCATAGGTGATGGTGACCTTCTTTCCCCTGCTAACTACTGTTTGGCTATCTTCTTCAGAGCGACGTCTAGGTCAGGCCGTGGCCTGCTTTTCACTTTGGGCTCTGTTGTTGCCTCCAGTTCTTGGTGTGGTGGGCACTAGGGCCTTGTCAGTTACATCATTTCTAGACAGCCCTGCTGGGGCTCACTTTCTTTTCAGTGTCACTCAAGGTTCAGAAGTTTTAAATTTTGATAAAGTCCATTTCCTTCTGTTCTTCTGCCCCCTATGCTCTGAGTGTCATAGCTGAGAAGTCAGGGCTTGACGTTCGCCTTCGTGTTTTCTCTGAGACTTTGATCTTAGGTCTGCATTAAGCACCCTCAGACTGATACACAGCTGTCACCACCACCCTCTTCAGAACTTTCCATCATCTCAAACTGAGACCTTGGATCCAGGGAACGATAACTCCCCTTTGCCCCAGTGCCCTATCCCCCAGTGCCCACTACTCTCGCTCTGTCTCTGTGAATTTGACACATTTAGGTGAAATCACCCAGTGTTTACTTTTTTGCATCTAGCTTACTTTACTCAGCACAGCAGCTTCTGGGTTCAGTCAGTTGTAGTATGTGCCAGAATTTCCTTCCTTTTTAGAGGTTATATAATATTCCATCATGTGAACATACCACATTTTCATTTATCCATTCAGTCCAAGGGCATTTAGGTTGTTTCTACCTCTGGCTTTTGTGAATTGTGCCACTTATGGACATCACAAGTAAATATCTATTCAAGCCTTTGAGAAGATGCCTACAAGTGGGACTGCTGCACCATTGGGCTATTTGTGTTATACTTTTTAAAGGAACCACCATACTGTTCTCTCTGTAGGTTATACTTCTACTTTCCTGACAACAGGACACAGGGTCCATTTCTGTACACCTTTGCCAGCCCTTGTTATTGTCTGGGTTGTTTAGGTTTTTGTTTTTCTGTTTTGCTTACTTGGTTTTTGTGAGGGTTTTTTGTTTGGAGGGTTTTGGGAGGTGGTTTTTATTTTGAGATAAGGTGTCCCTGTAGCCCCAGCTGGTCTGGAACTTGGTACGTAGACAAGGCTGGCCTCAGTTGCATAGAGATCTGCCTGCCTCTGCCTCCTGAGTACTGGGATTAAAGGCATATGCCACCATGCCCAGTGATTGATAGATTTTTGAAAGATGGTTTCCATGTGTAACCAGGTTGGCCTGGAACTCATGGTAATCCTCCTGCCTCAGTCTCTTGAGTGTTATGATTTCAAGCACGAGCCAACACACCAGGCTACTGATTTTTCTTGTTTGTTTTTTTTTTTGGTTGGTTGGTTGGCTCTAATTACTACCTACCCTGATGGGTGTGGCTTGGTAACTCAGTGGGATGATGTAGGTGTGATTGGCATTTCCCTAACCATAGGTGATGGTGACCTTCTTTCCCCTGCTAACTACTGTTTGGCTATCTTCTTCAGAGCGACGTCTAGGTCAGGCCGTGGCCTGCTTTTCACTTTGGGCTCTGTTGTTGCCTCCAGTTCTTGGCGTGGTGGGCACTAGGGCCTTGTCAGTTACATCATTTCTAGACAGCCCTGCTGGGGCTCACTTTCTTTTCAGTGTCACTCAAGGTTCAGAAGTTTTAAATTTTGATAAAGTCCATTTCCTTCTGTTCTTCTGCCCCCTATGCTCTGAGTGTCATAGCTGAGAAGTCAGGGCTTGACGTTCGCCTTCGTGTTTTCTCTGAGACTTTGATCTTAGGTCTTGTGTGTGTGTGTGTGTGTGTTTTGTTCATTTTGAGTTGAGTTTTCTAGATCAAATCCTGAGATTCCCATGAGTGTTGTTTTGCCTTGTGAAGGAAGAGACCGTATGTCAGGATGTTCCTGTCCAGACTTGGACCTCTGTCCTCCAGAGTCCAACATCAGGCTGGGCGTGGTGGTGCACACCTGGGATCCCAGCACTTCAGAGGTGGAGGCAGGAGGAACAGGAGTTACAGATCATTCTCAGCTACATAATGAGTTTGAGAACAGCCTGGGCTACATGAGATTCTCTCAAAACACACAAACGGGCTGACTCATTGAGTAAAGTGCTTGCCTTACAAGGAGGAGGATCTGAGTTCATATCTCTAGCACCCATGTAAAAGCCAGGTATGGCTGGTGCCTGTAAACCCAGTACAAGGGATCAGGGGAAAAGAGACGTGGCAGGCAGATCACAGGGCTCTACTGGCCAGCTGGCCTAGCTGAGATGGTGAGCTTCAGGCTCAGGGAGAGACCCTGTTGCAAAATATAATGCAGAGAGCCATGGATGAAACACCTAACATCGACAGACACACCACATGCACACACACAAGCCATGTACACATACAACACACATATGCATACACACAGAGACACAGACACACAAATACAGGGAGATACACAGAGATAAACACTCTACCACTGACAGTGTCCCCAGGCCCTTTTTAAAAATTAATTTTTATTTTGAGATAGGCCCTCACTGAGTTGCCAGGCTGGTCTTGAACTCACTCTGTAGCCCAGCCAGGCCTCAAATTTGCGGTCCTCCTGCCTCAGCCTCCCCAGTAGCTGGCCTGAGAGGCCTGTGCCATCAGGCCCAGCTAACCTGTGCTTTTCAATGACCACTCAGTGCCTGGGGTTTGCCCCGGGTTCTGAACAACGAAGACAAAGGAAGCAGGGGGACCAGAGGAGGCTGCGAACAGTCAGGGGGAGGGGCAGGTTTCAATGGAGCCCCAAGGCCCTTCTTGCTCTGTGTGTCCTCATGTGTGCACATATCTGTACATGTGCACACATGTGTGAATCATGCCAGCTGTCTCCTCTCTTTTTCTGCAGGTTTGAGACGGGCCAACTCAGTTCAGGCCTCCCGCCCTGCCTTGGCCTCAGTGCCGAGCCCGATGCCTCCTCAGCCTGCTCAGCCAGGTACCCTGATGGCCATAGCCCTTGAGTCCCTCAGGAGTGACCCCTCCCTGTCACTGTGCAGAGCCACAGCAGGCCTGAGCTATCCCAAGACCCTGAGGATGAAGGATGCCCTTAAAGTTAGGGTGTGGAGGACGGAAGTGTGGAACAGCTTGTCTTCAGTGAAGGAACACCCCAAGGCAGTGACCACATCTCAGAGAAAGAAATGGGGCGGGGGACGTCTGTGTCAGGTAGGCCCAGGGCCTTCTGAGCACAGCCCCCAGAGGGACAGTTCTCGCCATCTCAGAACCTGCCTGTGCCACTGGCTGCCTCGATCTACCCTGTGACACAAGAGAAGAGGAGGTACCTCAAAGTGTGCCCATACCAGCACCCCTCTCTCCCCTACAGGGCCCCCTGGGGGCAGCAGGGCAGCTCTTGGGCCAGCATACCTTCCTGAGCAGAGTGCAGGCAAGTGTGGGCTACCCTGGCATCCCCAGAAATAGGTCTGCTCGGCCTATACCCCAAGACCTGTCTGGAAAGGTCTAAACAGCCCCTCTTCCCAGACCCCTGAACTGTCAACACTAGGCAAATCAACTTGGGGAGGCTCAGAGCCCTTGTTGCCCAGTGCCTGGCCTCTACTTCGGCTGTGTGACCCCGGGCAAGTGACTGAACCTCCCTGGGCCTCAGTTTCATCTATACAAGTGAGAGTCAGGCTAAGACTTCTTCCACAGGCTTGTTGGGAGGGTTAAACAAACTGAAACATTAAAAAATAATAATAATTTTTAAAAACCCACCTTTTGTGGAGCCTGGGATGCTTTTGGCCCACAATAAACAGCAGTGACGCTATATGACCCATATGCATGGCTCCATCTTCAGCCATCATAGTTATGACTTTAGCCTCTATTTTCAACCAGCCAGGTGCCCTTTTAGTGTTGTACAAATATTAGGTCATTGTTTAATAGGACCTAATACCTACTACCATGGGAGTACCTTCAGATAGCCTAAGTTCCATTCTACTAATAAGGAGACTAATGTCAGAGACATTAAGTAACTGGCCCTAAGTCACACAGCTGAGGTTGAGATGTGTGCTGTGTGGCTGAGTCCATGCTGACCTGACCACACCCCTGTCTGCACTGTCCTTATTAGAATGGACTCCCTCAGCTTCACTGTCACATGCAGAGTCCAAGGCCTGGAGTCAGGGCCCCCTGATTCTGGGTGCAGACTGGTAACCTGTATTCCAGTAGCTTCCACAGCTGAGTTGCTACAAAATTGTAGTCTGAGTTGCTACAAAATTGACCCAGCTCCCTGTCCCCTCCTCGCACTCCTACAGAGGTGACTCCCAGTGATCCTGGCTATCCAGGGGCTATCGCCCCAGCCCAGGAGGAGAGGACAGGACCTATGGGCAGCTTCCCAGCAGCTGGAGTCAGGGAAGACCGAGCACCCCACCAGCCAGGTCCTTATTCCCAGGTGGCCTCTGCCCGCCAGCCACCACCTGCAGAAGAGGAGGAAGAGGCCAACAGCTACGACTCTGATGAAGCAAGTAGGTAGCTCAGGCGAGCCGTGTTGGGAGACGTCACCTGAGAGCTGAGCCCAAAAAGGCAAGGCAAGAGCTCCAGAGTCAACAGACACACTCCAGCCCCTGACATGCCAGACCCTCAGGAGGCATGAGGGTTCAGAAACACGGGTTTGCTAAATAGTGTCAGCATTCCAAAGAACGAGTAGCCCAGCGTTTATTTTATTCTTTGTTTGGCTCAAACCCCGGGCTTTAAATATGCTAGGCTAGCACCCCACCTCTGAGCTACACCCCAGTCCGGGGTTCATGGAGACCTGGCTCCATGTGCAGTGAAGCTGGCTTTCAAGGGAGCCTTCTGACTCCGCCTCCCAAGCCGGGTTGGTGGGTGAGTGCCGCCTTGTGGCCAATACTAATACTACAGTTTTTCATTGTAGTGAAGCCTGTATTTGAATTATTTTAAAACGTGGAGTGCCGTTTCTTGAGGTTCATTCTGGCTTGTTGTCTAGCTAAACAGAATTATCACCCTATGCTCAGGTGTGGGTCTCTGTGGTTTAATGTGTCTTCTACAAAACTCACTGGGCGTTTCCTCTGACACCAGCTACTCAGTGATTTATTAGATGCTTACTGTGTTCCTCTGGAACTCAGACCCTAAGGCCCAGGGACAAACAGACAGACCACACACACACACACACACACACATGCACACACATACATACACATGCACACATACATGCACACTTGCACGAGGGCCTCTTCGTCCCCTGATGTGGCTAGAGCTACAGAAACAGTGAGACTCTGGGGGCCTCAGAGACGGGAATGGAAAGGTGTCTCCATCTAACACAGTCCCTCTCCACCAGCCTTCCCCCAACCCCTGTCAGGCAGAGACTTGCATGGAAGGTTCTGACAATGGCTTGCCCACATCCCAGCCGGTCCTTGTGGTACAGTGAGAACCAAGCACCACCTCCTGCACAAGCCAAGGGTCTGGTAAACTAAGGTACTAGGGGAAAGAGCTTGATGAACTGGACACCACAGTCCTGTTGTACTGAGCGTCATGAGGAATGGCTGCCATGCAGTTCAGATGGCAGAGGCCAGGACAGTGGTCACCAGTGGAGTTCTGGCTGGGCTTCCCCTCCCACCAGGGCCATCCACACCCCTCCACTTCCTGTCTCCACCGAGTGGGAACCAGCAATTTTCTCCTCCCATTTCACAATGGGCCACCAAGTTCTTGAGACTCAGAAATGAGCAGTGAGTGCACAGGTTGCCCCCGGCCCCCTGCAGGGTTGCATCCCCGGCACTCTCCAGGGTCAGGGTCTTCAGCCTCAGGGGAAGGAGAGGGGAGTCCACCCACCTTGTCAGCCACAGGCCCCTCCCCTGAAGTGCTCTGTGTTTGCTCTCCCCCTACCCCACCTTGCTGCACCCTTGTCCTGGGTGCTCCTACCATGCCTCTAATGTCCATGACCCGAGCATGCACAACCCCTCCCAGCCTCTGGTGAGCTCTGACTTCTATTCACAGAGCTTACGGCAAGCCTGGTTTCTCTCAGTGCCTCACGCTGTCATCCCCAAGGATTTACTGACCTCATACCATGTGCCTTGCACTGCTCTTGGCAGGAGGACACAGAGACAAAATGCGATAGATCCTCTGAGCTCATGAGAAGGTGTGAGCCATGTAGCATAGAGAGGGAGAGCATTCCAAGCAAGGGGACCAGCAAAAGCTAATATCTGTGCATTCCTTCAGTACACAGGAGCACCTACTATGTGCCCTGCCCTGCACACAGCCAGCCCTTGTCTTCAGGGGACTCTCGATCTGACAGAGAAGAAGTCACTAACTAAACAAGTACATAAATGATTTCAGGTTCTGGGGAGGGCCTACCAGGACAGTGTCAGACCAGGGTTCTGCCCTCCCTCTTCTGTAGTCCCAATGCCTAGCCAACACTGGACACGTTAATAAGTGCTCAGGAAACATTTGTTGATTGACTAAACAAATGTTCTTTTGGCTCGCATCTCTGTTCCCTGCAGCCACTCTTGGTGCCCTGGAATTCAGCCTTCTTTATGACAAGGACAACAGCACCCTGCAGTGCACCATCATCAAGGCAAAGGTGTGTGGCCAGCTGGGGACCCCTGAGGAGGCTCTGGTCTTTCTAGAAGACCCGGGTAGGGATACGTCTCAGGCCTGTCCCTACTATCCTCGACCTGTGATTGTGCCAGAGATGTGAGCAGGGCAGTCCTCAGCCACGTTGGATTTCCTTAGGAGGGTTTCCTCTGGGATGGTTCCATGGCTGTGTCCTGTAAGTGGAGGGTGCTAGGCTTTGAGGACAGTGCCAAGGATCACCCAAACTGCACACAGTATGTCAGAGGGGACCATGCACTTACCTCTGAGAGGTAATGATAGCCTGACCCTGTGGCCCCAGATTGGGGCATCAATGAATTGGAAACTACAGGCTTGCTGCCCATTTGTGGGTGCTCAGGAAGCTCCCTCTCTGTGCCTGCCAGTTCTCAGTAGTGATGATAAGACACCCCCTCCCACCCTACTCAGTCCCCAACTTCCCACTTTGGAGGACAAATGAGATACAACATGCTTCACACAACTCCTACATCAACCCACCTTCCTGCCTACACTGATTCTCTGGCATGCATTTATCAAGCACCTACTGTATACCAGGCACTATGGTGAGTGCTTAGATATATGTTAATCCCTTCTTCTCTATTGCCTTGACCTCCAGACAGGCATCTTCATTAGCCCCGTTGGTCAGGAAACTGAGGAAACTGAGGCCAGAAAGCTAAAAGCCTAAGGTCACATCCTGGTGAGGAATGGGGCCCATCTTTGCAGGTGAAGCCACATTCACTCCTCCCTGAATCCACTGTCAACTCCTCTAATGAGGTCCAAGGGCCTCATTGAACACACATTCAGCATTTGTACCCAGCAGTGTGGCTACTGCCTCTGCCTGGCAGTGAGTGGAGGGGTGTGGTGTGGTGTCTACAGTCCAGGAATCTGAGGTTACTTGGATGAACAATGTCAGTGTAATTCCCATTAGAATCCATAAGAGAAAAAGATGATAAAATAGCCTGCTCCAGGCCCTGGGGGATGGGGGGCAGGGACTGTAAGCCTCATCCTCCTGGTAGGGAAGCTGAGGCCTCACAATGAATGCAGAAGTCAGGCCCAGAATTCAGGAATCTGTCCCTGACTCTTCTCTGCCCTTACTATTCTTGGATGTTTTCTCCATCCCATAAAAACAGACTTACTACACTCCAGGGGTAGCCACATTGAAGTCTCCTACCTCCCTTTTTGACAAGACAAGAAACAGGCGCAGAGAGGTTGGGGAAGCTGCCTAAGGTCACACAGCTAGGGAGCAGCATGTCTCCAACCTTGTGCCTGATTCCAGTGTGTTTTCAGAGATGCTCTCACCTGCCATGACTGAGCACACAGCCCCTCCAAGGGCTCATGTGCTGCCTCCTTCTCTTGCAGGGACTGAAGCCCATGGACTCCAATGGCTTGGCCGATCCCTATGTGAAGCTGCACCTGCTGCCAGGAGCCAGCAAGGTACCACCGAGAGGCCACTGACTAGCACAGGGTCTACACCAGAGTCTGCACAGGGCTCTGAGCTCAGAGCCTGGCATATCCCATCTGCCCAAGTCCCCACTCCAATCTCATGAATGGCAAAGCTCTCGCAGTGGGGAGGGAGCAGACTCCCCAGCACAAAAACCTGGAGGCTGGCAGTGCCACAAGCCAGGAGGAGGCCCTTCACCCGCTCAGACACCTTCTGTGCTCCCAGTGCCAGCAGGACCCACATCCCCTGCTGTCCTGGTCACAGCCACGCAGACTCATCTCTCCACAGAAATGGCTTGAGGACCAAGCCCTCAGACACTGCTCCTACTGCAGGGGCAGACCCCAGCCCTCCCCTTCCCTTCCCCTTGAGCCTTCAGTGGACCCAACCAGGGTCATGGGTGTCCCTTCAGTGGACCCACCCAGGCATGGGGGCCTTCCTCTTTTGCTCCGCTGGGCTCATTTGAGGTGGATGTTCTAGAAGTGCGGGTCAAGCAACTGCAGCATGCTCCTGGACAACGCCTGTCACAAGCAGCCGAGCAGTTCAAATGCCTAATAAGCTAAGACCTCACACACGTGCATACACATTCATGTGTGTACACATGCATGCATGAACACAGGCATATGTTCTTGTATCTTATATATGCGCAAATATACAAGCACATGTGCATACATGCATATATATACATGTCTATACACACACAAACATGTATACATGTGCCTACAGTTATGCACACATGCACAGATACACATATATTCATAATCATAAAATACACACATGTGCACAGATATACACATGGACATACATGTGTGCACATGTGTGTACATACACAATGTATATATCACATGCATTCAAGTATATGCACATATTACACACATGTATACGTGCCTGCACATGCATAAATGTAGACACAAATATAAGTACATACACACATGTATACACACACATGAATGCTTTCACATATACATGCAGGCACAAATATGCACACAGGGATACATACCCACACATATAACCAAGTATACACATGTATACATATACACATGTATATTCACCTGCATACATGTGTACACTTATACACACCACACATGCATGTATATACATTTATATATACACATATGCATACACATGCATGCACCTATACACATATATGCATAGACACACACATTCATTCATGCGTGCACATGCTTATGCATGTATGTGTGACACATGTATACATGCCACAAAGGTATGCATACACATAAACAGACATGCACACGTGTGTACATATACATGTGTGTGCATGTGTGCATCTGTACACATGTACATTTACCCACATGCATGAACATGAACATGCATACATGTATACCTTATGTATATGTGTGTATGATATATACACTAATAGTCACACTTTCATAACATGCATGTCTACCCATACATGTATGTTATACACACAAGTGTGCACATGCATAGTTGTATTTACATGTTTACACATGCACTTGCATGCACCTATACATACACACATGTATTCATGTGTATGTATGTGCATAAACACATGCATTTCCATGACTGTGTGTTCATATATGTGTGCATGTGGATACACATATGTATGTGTATGCATGCATCAACACATGGATGTAGACACACCCATGTACACATATGTACATGAATTTATTCACATGTTTATGCACATGCATGTATGCCCACATCCACAGAGAGATGCATGTATGCATATATACACACATGTGTACACACAGCCATGCACACAGACATACATTTATAGACAGGCACACACAGACATACATGTAGGCACGCAGGCACACATGCATGTACACATATACACATGCACTTGTACACACATGCACTCACATGCACATACACATGCATACAAATACATTCATATGCACACAGGCACACACACAGTTTACCTCATTACTTTCTTGGAATCAAGTACACCTGTCCCCTGGCCATGACCACTTGTGAAGAATGTGGCCTCATGACCGCTCCTCCTCCAACCCCCTGGTGATATTTGCTGTCCATCAAAACACAGTTTAAGGGGCTGGAGAAAAGGCTCAGCAGTTAAGAGTACTGGCTGCGCTTGCAGAGGACCTGGGTTTGGTTCCTAGCACCTACAGGGCGGCTGGCAACCATGGTGACTTCAGTTCCAAGAAATCCAATGCCTTCTGACCTTTGCAGGCACTGCACAGCATGGGTCCACTTACATATATGCAGGCAAAACACATAAAATGAAAATAATAAGGGCTGGAGAGATGGCTTAGTGGTTAAGAGCACTGACTGCTCTTGCAGAGGACCTGGGTTCGATTCCCAGCACCCACATGACGGCTATGAACCGTCCTTAACTCCAGTTCCAGCCCACATAGCTAACAACCATCCCTGATTCCAGTTCCAGGGGATCCAATGCCCTCTTCTGACCTCCATGGGCATTGCACAACACAGGTGGTCTTGCATATATGCATGCAATGCACTCATATACATAAAAAGAAAATAATAAAATATTTTTTTTAAAAACAGTTAAGTCCAAACCTGCCTGGCCAAAGAATCCCATCATTCATACTACTGGGAATTACATTTGTCTCCAGCCCTCTCACTTCCAAAATTTATACTCTTCTCTCGGAATAAAATGAAAAACTGTACTAATTTTAAAGAAAAAAAGGCTGGCCCAGGTGGTGCAGGCTTATAATCCCAGCTACTGGGGAGGCTGAGACAGGAGGATCACAAGTTCCAGGCCAGCCTGAGCAACTTAGTGAGACTCTACCTCAAATTTTTAAAAAAGTTTTTAAGGGGACAGTGCTGAAGATGTTGCTCAAGATAGCACTTGTCTAACGTGTGTGAGGCTGACAGTCAGTCCCCAGGACTGTACAGGAAGTGGGAGGGAAGGAGGAAGGGAGGGAGGGAGAGAGGGAGGGAAGGAGGCTCTCGTCCACTCTGAGGACTTCAGGCAGGGAGGACACAGTTGAAGACACAGGAGGTCATCCCAGTGGCCACCATTTCCATCTATGAGTGGTGTCTCCAGTCTCCAGGTGAGCTTGAGCTTCTCACCTAAGGAGCAGTTTAAGGTGGGACTCCTGGGCAGCTCTGCTGAAGGGTGTCTGCCCATCTGTCCATCCGTCCATCTGTCTATCCATCTGTCTGTCCATCTGTCTCTGGGGGCTCTAGTCCAACAAACTGCGTACGAAGACTCTGCGCAATACCCGGAACCCGGTGTGGAATGAGACCCTGGTGTACCATGGCATCACAGAGGAGGACATGCAGAGGAAAACGCTCAGGTACCCACGGGCGGCTGGGGAGGGCAGACAAGCCTTGCAGTGGAGGCTCACAGACATGTGCTCTTTAAAAGCGTTGTGTGGCTTTATTTTGCTTTTTACCTGTCACAAAACTAGTATTTGTTTCCAAAAGAAATTTTTGTAAATATAGTGATCAATTCCAGGGCCCCATAGACCCCAATCCCCAGGTGCCCATGTTCCTTACATGTGACATGGTGTAGCATGCTCTGTGTGCCTGATGCCCCTGTGGGTGCCACCATGTGCTCTGCTGTCTGACTGTGCCATCCAGGCAGCAACAACAAGGAGCTACCTGCACATGCTCAGCCTAGGTGGAGCGTTCCTCCCTAATATTCTCTACCCATGGCTGGCTGAATGCTCAGACACAGAGTACACGGCTACAGAAACCAACGTGCACATAGATGAATGTCACGGAGGTAACAATGCAAATCACAGAGAAAAGTAGACACAATCTTGTGTGGCAGCACACACTTGTCATCACAGCACTCAGGAGGCTGAGGCAGAAAGATCAGGCGTTCTAGGTCATCCTGGGCATACATCATGACTTTGAGTCTAGCTTGGACTACATAGCAAGACCTTGTCTCAAGAAAAATAAAAGAAAGCAGAACACACTGCTCAATCCCATTTATATTACGGTCAAGTGCAGGACAAATGGCTGCACATAGGCAGAGGTCCAAGAGTGTTTCTCTTGGAGCAGAGGACAGACTAGAGAAGGACTCTGAGAGCCTCTGGGTGCTAGAATGTTCTAGATCTTTATCTGAGTAGTTATGATATTGGCATATACAAATACACAGATTCCTCAGGCCATGAACTCAAAGTGAGTCACCTAATTGTAGGTAAGTCACACGTCATGCAAGAGGAAACTAAAGCTCTGTGCCTGTTGGCCTACATGCAGGACCCAGCCTCTATCCCAGCCACACCACGTGGCCTTGCCAGCCCCTCCAACAGCTCAGGGTGCCTGGAGGGAGCTCAGTGCCACTGCTCTTTCTCTCCCTACCATGTGGCACACAGGATCTCGGTGTGTGATGAGGACAAGTTTGGCCACAATGAGTTCATTGGCGAGACTAGATTCTCACTCAAGAAACTGAAAGCCAGCCAGAGGAAGAACTTCAACATCTGCCTGGAGCGCGTGATCCCGGTGAGTAAGGCTGCTGGGTGGATCCACAGGCTCTGAGCAGGTGCCATAGCAGCTCAGAGTGCTGGACAGATGTGGAGCACCTCAGAGTGGGGAGCAAGGGGTTACCCCAAGAGGCAGGAGTTGTGATTTCTAGGCATGAGGAGACCCCAGCTCTCCTGGGCAGTGGGCCAGTGCCCCACAGGGAACCCTCAGGGATGGGTGGTACCCCTGTAGCCTCTTAATCCCAGATGGCTGGGCAGGGGAGCGGCACTGGGAGTCAGGTCATCCTGCACAGGGAAGAGATGTGACAAGAACAGGGAGCACAGTTCACAGAGTGCAGGCTCATGAAAGCCAGACCTAGGTAACAGAAGCCTCCTGGGGCCCTTGCCTGGTGGGAGCTGGTTCTTCAGGCTTCCTCTGAATCCCTCCCTCAATGGGTCCAGCTGGTCAGGACAATGCCCAGGCTCCCGCCTATACCACCAGCTCCTCCACCTGTCTCCATAGGCTGGAAGCAGCTGTCCAGAGACACTGAGGTGGTGAGACAGACAGGCAGAGGGACTGTAGGGCCCCACAACACTGTTGACCCTTCTCTTCCCAGCTGCTTCCCCCACTGTGCCCCATTCAAGATAAGGGCCTCATCAATGCTGTCCCCTCATCCTGGCTGTGGGCAGGTTGGGTTAGCCAGTGGCTTTACACTCCATGTTTCTCAGAGCCAGACGGGGAGAAGTGCCTGGTAGGCCAGACTCTAAGACCCCTGAAAGACTCTGCTGAAGTGGATAAAAGCTTGTGCTTTATGTGTGGGCTCTGAACCTGTGACAATTCATCTGTCCACTCAGACCCTCAGTGTCTTCTGTAAATTGGGGATTGTAATAGAACTTACATGGATGGTTGCTGCCCCTGTTGCCCTGGTTAGTGTTGTATAAACATTGGTGAGAGGGAGAGTATGGGAGGCCATAGGGCTTTAAGAGCCCACATTCGGGGCTCTGGGTGCTAATGGCGGGCCCTCGTTGGGCAAGGAGACGAGCTTCCAACATTATCTTCCCCCTCTGTCTCCTCCCCTAGATGAAGCGGGCAGGGACCACTGGGTCAGCGCGTGGCATGGCACTGTATGAGGAAGAGGTGAGCAGGTGGTGAGATGAAGCTGAGGCTCCAGGGGGTGATTTTCTCCTCCTTTCCTGGGCCTTCCTTACTCTACACTGGCTGTAACCACTGACCAGCTCGTTCATAGGGTATCTGCCCTTTGTTCCCAGGCAGTGAATAGAGGGAGAGGGGTCTCTGAGGAGATTGTTCCCCATACTGCCTTCCCTGCCCCCTGCAGCAGGTGGAGCGGATCGGTGACATAGAGGAGCGTGGCAAGATCTTGATATCCCTAATGTACAGCACGCAGCAGGGTGGCCTCATCGTGGGCATCATCCGCTGTGTGCACCTGGCCGCCATGGATGCCAATGGCTACTCGGACCCGTTTGTCAAGCTGTGAGTTGGTGCCTTGGAAACAAGGAGGGGCCTCAGAGGGGCCAGACCCCAGGAGAGGAAGGACCAGGGCCAGAGTGTCCCCTAGGTCATTACCACTGAGACACAGAGAGAGAGGGGCCTACCCAAGACTTCACAGCGAAATCGGAATGGACTGAAAGTGAGGCTGCAGTCTCAGGAAGCCAGCCAGTGTGACCCGACATGCAGGAAGACTGGCCTGGAAGGAAGTATTTGGCATGGTGACCTCATTTATGGCCCCCAGGAGTCAACAGCACACACCCCAGTGTCTCAGAGCTCCACAGCCAGAGAAGCAGTCTGGCTTCATTCAAATTCATTTTAGAAACAAAGAAAAGGTCTTGGGTCCTAGGTTATTCCAGCAATCTTTTCAAAAGTTGCTCAGCCAGCAACTGCCTGAGTCAGAACCTGGATGTCCCCATCCTGAGAAACGTCAGTCCACTTTACTCATTCATCTAGAAAATATTGTTAGAGTATGAACTCTTAGCAGAATGTTACACAGATGTCCTGGCCATTAGTATTTGTCAAAATCTGCCCCGAAAGGCACTTGTTTTCACCAAGAAAATATTGATTGAGCACCTACTGTATGCCAAGTGTTTTGTCTACTCTGGGAAAAAGCCTTCTGATAGTGGAAGTGGTGTGTGCAAAGACCCTAGGGTGGAAAGGTAATGAGGAAGAAGTGGTAAGGAGCATGATGGGAAAGTAGCCTGGGACAGAGCTGGGACCCAACCACATGGCCAGGTGAGGACTCTCCTGAAGTTATGGGAGGGCAGAAAATAATTTTGAGTAATAGATTGACATAATCAGTTGCTGGGGTACAGCCCACACCAGCCACAGCAGTACCAGTGTTTGGTCACTTTCTGACTTATACATATCTCTTCTCAGCTGGCTGAAACCAGACATGGGAAAGAAAGCCAAGTACAAGACTCAGATTAAAAAGAAAACCTTGAATCCTGAGTTTAATGAGGTAAGCTGCTTGGGGATATTTCCAGTGTACAAGAGAGAAATGAATGCCTGCCAGAATATTCCTAATGACTTCAAAAGAGCATTTGGTTATAGATTGACCTGAATTATATCAAAAGGAAGGAGATGGGCTCCCTGTCACTGGAGGGAATCAAATCAAAGACAAAAGTCCGTAGATTAGGAATCCCATAAGGGGGAAGCTGTTTGAAGAAAGACTAGTTAAGTCATTGTCAGTGTCTGCTGATACATCCCCAGGCTGAGGTGTAACGACATGAATAAGCTCATCCAGGCCCTCATCTACTCCCATACTCTCCCATCAAGTCCCACTGAGCACTGGGTATCCATTGGATATACTCCCTGCCCTGTGTTCTCAAGGGCCCCACCCTGGGATTTCACACCTGAACTATTGCAATAGGTTTCTGACTCCTCTCTCTGGGCCCCACACCACCTCCAAATAAGTATAGCACTTGTAAAACATGAATCTGAACGTGTGTGTTAGTTAGTTTTCTGTTTCTTTGATAAAAACCATGACCAAAGCAACTTATAGAAAGAAGAGTTTATTTGGCTTACGGTTCAGAGTGATAAGAGTCCATCATGGTGGGGAGGCATGGCAGGAGGCAGCTGGACAGAAAGCTGAGCCCTTGCATCTTCAAGCAGGCACAAGAAGTATAGAGAGAGAAACAGCAAATGGGATAAGGCTCTAAACTCTCAAAGCCCACCCAGTAACGTGCATCCTCCATCATGACCATACCTGTAAGGTTCCATGATCGTTCCCAAACAGCACCACCAACTGACCAAGTGTTCAAATACTTGGAGCCTACAGGGGACATTCTCATTCAAACTATCACATTCCACTCCTTGGCCCCCACAGGCTCATGACCACATAAAATGCAAAATGCATTTAGTCCACCTTCAAACTCCTCATAGTCTTTACCAGTCTCAATAACTATTCAAAAGTCCAAAGTTTCTTCTGAGACTCAGAGCAATATTTTTAAATATTTTATTTATTAAAATTTTTTAATTTTAATTTTATGTATATGAGTATATCGCCTATGTGTATGTGAGTGCACCCATGTCATGCAATGCCACAGAGGTCAGAAGAAGGCTTCCGATTCCCCTGGAACTGGAGTTAAGGATGGTTTGTAGCCACCATATGGGTGCTGGGAATTGAACCCGGGTCCTCTGCAAGAGCAGTCAGTGCTCTTAACCACTGAACCATCTCTCCAGCCCCCTTGTTTATTATTTTTATTTTATGTGTATGAGTATATTACCTGCATGTGTGTAAGTGCACCTGTGTTGTGCAATACCAGCAGAGTCACAGAAGGTATTGGATTCCCCCAGAATTGGAGTTATGGATGGTTGTTAGCTGCCATGTGGGTGCTAGGAATTGAACCTGGGTCCTCTGCAAGAACAGCCAGTGTTCTTAATCGCTGAGCCATCTCTCCAGCCTCTCAAAGCAATCTTTTAACTGTAAGCCCCTGCAAAATCAAAAGCAAATTCCATACCTCCAATATACATTGGCACGGAATACACACTCCCATTCCAAAAGGGAGGAATGGAGGCATAGTGGGGAAACACTGGACTGAAGCAAGACCAAAAACCAGCAGAACAAACACCAAATCCTTTAGCCCCATGTCAGTTGGCTGGGACTTTAGTTCCAAAACATTTAGACAACTAAGCCTGCCTCCAGCTTTGCTGCCTGCAACAATGTGTCAGCCCCTTGCTTAAATAACTGGACTCAACACTGGCTCTAGTTTCTCACCAGGCAATCCAGCTTCCCAAACTCGCCTCCATCCCTGCCCTTCTCTGTGCCCTCTCCTCACCTTACTCTTTGTGGGTCCTTTGCTCCATGTGCTGGGTCTTCTCCTACACTGCCCTGGCCCTCTTCTCCTCCCTGATAATCTCCTATACATGTCTCAAAACACAGAGCAAGTGTGACTTCCTGCAGATGCACTCCCTGCATTCCCCATCTTATGGTGAATCTCCGACTCTCATCACCTGTGGATGAACCAGCCAGGCACAAAGGAGTGCAGCGATGTCTGTTCAGTTAATGAAGGACTGAATACAGGGAGAACAGCTGAGTTCTCGTCTAAGCCACCCCAAACATAAAGATAAAATACACACTGCAGATACCAGGGCTGAGTGGGAACCCTGAAACCAAGCCACATTCATGCTTGGGGCAGGTGCTGACCCCTATTCTGGCCTCCAGGCTGGCTCTGGAGCAGCCCTGAGGCTGTTCCACTCTGAGTGTTTCCTCCAGCCCCACCCCCAGACTGCATCAAGAGCTGGCTGGTACTGGTTTCTATCATATGTTGTGAAAGGGAAAGGAATACATTGTATAGTATGTTTATGATTGTTTTGCTTTTTTAAAAGCAGCACCCTTGGCACACGCCTTTAATCCCAGCACTTGGGAGGCAGAGGCAGGCAGATGGATCTCGGTTCAAGCCTGGGGCTGTGTCTCAAAAAAAAAAAAAGAATTTAAAAAAAAGAAGCACCCATGCACATTTGTGGGGCCACACCTTATAAGCAGAATCCCATTAGCTCTGCCCTTCCCCCTAGCCCCTGTCAGTGAAACACCAGAGTTCCTAAGTGGGATTCATAGGGCTCTACCCTCTCCTGGAATCTGACCAAGTCACAAATAAAAAATTCAAATGCATCCAGGTGTGGCAGCACAGATCTACCAACCCAGCAGCACCTGGGAAGCTGAGGCTGGAGGATCAGAAGCTCAAGGCTAGCCTGGGCTACCTAAGAGTCCCCATCTCAAACAATAAAACAACAACAGAACCATCCTAATCAAAGTCCCCTCCTGCCCCAGCCTTCATCTTCTGCTTCTCCCTTCTGAAGCTTAGATCCTACCTATTTCTGAGATTTACAGACATGTGACCATTTTCCTCACAGCATGCCTGACATCCCATGTCCTCATGGTTCTCCGTCTTAAAATGTGGTACACTCAGAAATTTATTTCTTGGAAATTGTCCTAAATCCAACACCATGGGTAGACAGAATTATCTCATTGCACAGAGGCCATCCATTAGTCCTTAATGACAGGGGAATGGGAAGCCACCTACACACCCAACTGTTAGGGATCAGGTTACAGCTTCCCAAATTGAACACCCTGAAATGGGGGGGGCACGGCTCAGTAGGTAAAAGGTTCGACAAGCACAATGAGCAGAGTATGGAAGAAGAGAACTGTCTCTCCCAAAGTTGTCCTGTGACCTTCACATGTGTGTCATGTCATGTGCATGTGCACGCACATACAACACGTGCACAAAAAATAAATGAATGTGATTTTAAGAAATGGTGATGTAGAAACAATCGTGTTTGTTTTTTGAAACAGGGTTTCCCTTGGTAGCCCTGGTTGTCCTGGAACTCACTGTGTATCCCAGACTGGCCTTGAACTTGTCAAGCTCCTCCTACCTCAACCTCCTGTGTACTAGGATTATAGGCATGTGCCATAACATTCAACTAAAAAAAAAAAAATTTAAGATATTTGCAACACATGCTAAGTTAGTTTTTAACATAGGTTACAAAGCAAAAAAAAGAAAATGCAGACTGTGTTCAGGATTGCCTCATTTCTCAAGTCACACATTACTGAGACCACACATAGGCAGCCTGATGGTAATTATTTTTAATGATGGTTTCTACTTCCTTATTGGTTTGTTCGAGCAATGAATAAGAATAAACTTTACAATTGGGCAGAAAGTTGTTTTTCTTTGAAAAACAATTCAGAGAAGTCCAGCGTGAGTGCCCACCTCTGCACTCAGGAGTCTGAGGCAGAAGGTTCACCCATGAGTTTGAGGCCAGCCTGGGCAACAAAATGAGACACACACACACACACACACGCACACACACACACCCCTCAGATTGTCCACACACACACACACACACACACACACACACACGCACACACACACACCCCTCAGATTGCCTAGGGTGCATTAAATCCCTAAACAGAAGTTACCAGGAGAGGCCGAGGAAGAGTTCTTTGCCCCCTAGGACCTCTCAGCTCAGTCCATTAGCTGCAGGTGGTCCAGGCTCAGGGGCCCCTCACCTCCTCCTCTGCTAACATGCAGGAGTTTTTCTACAATATCAAACATGGCGACCTGGCAAAGAAGTCCTTGGACATCTCAGTGTGGGACTATGACATCGGCAAGTCCAATGATTACATCGGTAAGTGTCCAGCTCTGGGAGAGGATGCCTTACCCAGGGCTGCGGAAATCAAGTTCATGCCTTGTCTCCAGCAGTCATGTGGGCCCAGTGTTAGCATGGAGCCCAGGATCTTGATTTTGGTCCTACCTGGGAGTATCTTGGTGTGAAAGAGGGCATGCAGCTGAGCAACTGCCCAGGGCAGAATAACCAAGATCCAGGAGAGCAGAGGGTGTGCCCTGAGGCATTCCCCTTAATCTGTTTGCAAGTCTGGGATGAAGGGTCTAAGTTTCCCAGCCCCCTCCAAGTGCCAAGAGCAAAAAGTCATAAAAATGGTACAGGGTGAGACTCCAGGCAGGGGGTGAGGTCAAAACTGACCCTTTGGAACCTGATTGTGAATACCCAATATTTGGAAACAGAAGAACAAAGTAGACAGTGAGGGAGCTGGGGAGATGCTTTTTTTTGGTCTTTTTGAGACAGGGTCTCCCTTTAGCCCCAGCTTTCCTGGAACTATGTAGACCAGGCTGGCCTTGAACTCACAGAGATCTGCCTGCCTCTGCTTTCTAGCAGTTAAAAGCACTGGCTGCTCTTGCAAAGGACCTGGGTTTGGTACCCAAAGAACCATTCATAACTCCAGTTCTAGGGGATCCAACACCCTCTTCTGGCCTCCATGGGCATTGCACAGACAAGTGCACTTATGTACATGCAGGCAAAACACTCATACACATAAAAAAAAATAAATAAATGAATAAAATGAAAAATAAAAATAAATAAACTGTGGCTTGGTGCTAGAGTAGGGAACAGATTCTTGAGGCACAGAGAGTGTGTGGTAATAATAATATCAACAACAGCATGACAAGTCCTCTTGGAGGCTGAGTCACAGGTTGCTGGACAAGGTTGGGGGAGGGGTCTCACTGCTCAGTGGCAGTTTTTCTAGAATGAGTGTCCATTGAGTCCCTCTGCACTGACCTCCTGCCTCTTCCCTTCTGCTTTCTTTGTTCATCCCCCAGGAGGCTGCCAGCTGGGGATCTCAGCCAAGGGGGAGCGCTTAAAACACTGGTACGAGTGTCTGACGAACAAGGACAAGCGGATTGAGCGCTGGCACCAGCTTCAAAATGAGAACCACGTGTCAAGTGATTAGGACACAATGCCCCGGCACCCCCACCCTGCCCCACCATGCTCAGCTCACCCCACGCCCTGCCCGGCCCCAGCTGTGCCTGGTCTCCTTCCTCTGAACCTCCCTCATTGACCCCAAGCCTTTGAAGACTCCCTCACCCCCAACTCTGCTGCTAAAGATGCCCTCTGTTCTCCAGTGCTGGGCCAGGGGCTCTGGAGCAAGCTCTCTCTGGTCCCTATGATGGGGTGGGGGTGGGGAGCCATTTACAAAGAGGCTACTCATTTAATAACCTCCCCATTTTGGCAAATTGAAAAGGTTCTTCACCTTTTGGCCCTGGTTTTAGATACTCCTGACCTTGAAAACACACAAGGTCATTCCCTGAGTGTGTCTGCCTTGAGGATAAGCACTGGGACAGAAATGGCATCAAGGTTGTCACTGTCTCTCCAAAGTACCCTAGGCGAGCAAGCAGACCCACCCTCCACTCAGCAAGAAGCAGGCAGGAAGAATACACAAAAGACCTGCCCCCTCTCCCAGGAAGCTTTCCACCTACTGCCTAGAAAAAGCTAATACTCTCTGACACCTACCTGCCTTCTTGCTCTGTGTCTCTCTCCCACCCTTCATCCTCCTCCTCAGCAACACCCCTTACTCAGCCTCTGCCTCTGCCTCTTTTCCCTTCCCTGCCCCTCCCTCAAGGGGACACACAGAAAAAAAAAGTATCTCCCACAGACTCTCACCTCCCTGTCCCCTGCCAGCCTGGCCAGCAACCTCACAAGCTGGAGAAGCCCCGGTCTCTCTGGGCCCCTTGCCTCTGAAGTTACCATGTCTCCTGTCTGGCTATCCTCAGGCCTAGGACCGACCTCCGGTACAGCCTGGGTGCACAGCAGCCTGCCTCCAGCTCTGTAGACAGCCCCATGGCCCAGGAGCTTTCTAAAGTCCCTGCTCCCCAAGTGGGCACAGGTGGCACTGGGTAGACCATAGCTCTGGGTCCAAGGGATCTCCTGCCAAGTTCCCAGTTTTTCTCTTCTCTGCTCTTAGATAATAGACAAAGGACCCCAGTTCTGTCTCTCTGTGTCCATCTCTGTCTCTTCCACTCTCTTCCCCAAGTTTCCTGAGGTGATCAAATAACATCATAGAAAGCTTTCATGGGGCAGAACCTCGTGCAAAACACTCTTGGTCCATCACAAATCAAGAGGAATATACTTTTCGAGTTTGGAGTCGGGCCATCTTCAGTGCACAGAGAAAAGCTTGGTTTTCCCATTTTGATAGTCTTTCCCCATCAAGATCCTAAGCCCTCCCAGGCCCCATAGAAACAGTCAGGCAAAGACTGAACTTCTCATTCCCAAACACACCTCTGCCTGTCCCTTCCAATGTCTCCTGTCCTCAGCGACCTGTAGTTTGAGGGCCTCCTGTCTTGCCCTGGAATAATTATTTCCTAGTTTCAGGCTCTCTGCCTGCCCCCGGTGGCTGACAGCCTCCTGCCATCATCTTCCCTCTCACCTTTAACTTTCCCCATTAGTCCCCCACAGTCCCATGCCCCACCCTCTTCCATTACAGTCACCCTTAGGAGAACGCATGCTGGCTGTATCGCCCAAGCCTGATGCTAGTGTTGGCTCTGGAATTGGCATGCGGCCTGCTTGCGGCACCCCAGTCCCCGATACCCACAACTGCCCCTCAACTTAGAACTTGTGCCCCCAGGTGCATGTACAACACCCATTACCTTTCTTTGCACTGATGTAGCCAAAAATAAAGTAGGAATATGCAGGAAAGCTGCTGGCCTGCTTCTCTTCCTTGCCAGTTTCTAGAAGTTTCTTCTGCCACCTTACCAGAACATGTATAGATCTGGGGGTTACACAAGCAGTTTTTTAGGGTGCAGTGAGGAAGTGTGACAGAGGTGCTACTTGGCCATGTGGAGTCTGTTCTCTGGTGGATTTTATCCTGACCATGGGCAGGTAGACTCAGGGAAACCCCAGGTGACCCTATCTTCTCTGACCCCTTGCTGTGGGTGCCCACCCAACAGGGAGCACACCTTCACACACACACACACACACAGACACACACACACACATATACACACAGACTCCACCCTCTTTTGGGAAGTGCCAGCCAAGTACTGTGAGTATTAAGAAAGATCCTGGGTAGCTGGGCCTGGTGGCACACGCCTTTGATCCCAGAACTTGGGAGGCAGAGGCAGGCAGATCTCTGTGAGTTCAAGGCCAGCCTGGTCTACATAGTGAGTTCCAGGACAGCTGGGGCTACAGGGAGACCCTGTCTCAAAAAGACTAGGAAAAAAAAAAAAGATCCTGGAGGCCGGGGAGATGGCTTGGTTAGTGAAGAGCCTGCTGGGCAAGCTTGAGGACTCGGATTCAGATACCCAGAATCCTTGTCAAAAACCCAGTGTGGGGGTTGGAGGGATGGCTCAGCGGTTAAGAACACTGTTCTTGCAGAAGACCCAGGTTTGAATCCCAGCACCCATATGGCAGCTAACAACTGTCTGTAACTCCAGTTCCAGGGGATCCGACAGCCTCTTCTGACCTCCACAGGCATTGCACGACACAAGTGCACTTACATACAGGCATAACACTCATACACATAAAATAATAAAAATAAAAAAATATATTTTTTTAAACTGACCAACACCCCCCCAAAAAAACAAAATAAAAAACCCAGTGTGGGCTGGCAAGATAGCTCAGCAGGTAAAAGTACTTGCCCCACAACCTGGAAAACGGGATTTCAATCCCCGGAACACATGTAAATGTGGAAGCAGAGAACACACTCCATAAAGTTGTCCTCTGATATCACACTCATGCCATTGCACACATGCCCCACCCCCACATCATGCACACACACAATAATAATTTTTAAAATCTGAATGTGGTGGTGTGGGACTATGATCCCAGCACTGGGGAAGCAGAGACAAGAGGGTCTGTAGGGCTCACAACTAGTCAGCTGCATCAGTGAGTTCTGGGTTCACTGAGAGAGAAAGAGACCCTGTCACAAAAAAAGTAAGTAGAGAGGGTCGGGTATCATGGTACATGACACCTTTAATCCCAGCACTCAGGAGGCAGACAGATCTCTGTGAGTTCAAGGCCAGCCTGGTCTACATAGCAAGTTCCAGGCCAGCTGGGGCTACAGGGAGACCCTGTCTCAAAAAACAATAAAGTGGAGAACAATAGAGGAAAGCACACTTGTTGACCTCTCCTCTACATGTACATGTGTGCATATTTACCCACATACATATATCACAAATATGCGCACATATGCACACACAAGATCCTAGAACATAGTGGGGGCTGCTCCAATCCCCCCATTGGCCAGACAGATGATGAAACCAGGACCCAGAGGAGGTAGTGATGGAAGCTAGACAGCCAGCCTCCAGCCCGGTGCTTAACATATTGGCAGGCCATCCCATGCCTCCACTGTGCTCTGGAGCCTTCCAACACACAGGGAGCTTTCGCAGATAGACATATATTTGAGATTCTCAGTGATCCTAGGAGACAGCAGAGGAGGTAGCCAACTTTCCAGAATTCTCTTTTTTGCTTTTGTTTGTCTCCTTACTTCTTTGGTTGGTTGGTTGGTTTTGAGACAGGGTCTCACGTAGCCCAGGCTGGCCTTGGATTCCATACCTGCAGCCTAGGCTAGCTTTAAATCCCTGGTCCTCCTGCCTCCGCCTCTGGAATGCTAGGATTGCAGGCTTGCATCACCACACCTGGCCTCCCAGGAAGATACCTGCCCCCAGAATGCACAAGCAATTTGTCAGGAAGGCCCATCAGTCCCTGTCCAGAGCTGCTAAGTTCCTCCCACAGCCAAATGCTTGGCAGATCAGGACAATCTCCCAAGTTCCTAGAATCACCTGAGAAGTTTATTTTCAAACCACCACACTCTCCCCACTGTCCCAAAGATTCTGCTGCACCCGGGGACAAGACATAGCTTTGAAATATCTCCCCTTTGCTGTCTGAGCGCCCTGCCTCCATGACTGAAAACAGCTGCCTTCAAGCCAACCCACGACTCCTGCAGTTCAGATGGCTGCCACCTGGTGGCGATAGAGGTGCAGATGGGAACCAAGCAGCCTCTACAGTACCCACTTACCCCTGAGCCCATGGCAGACACCATTCATCAACACAACATCTCTCCTGCAGCACCTGCAAACAGCCTGTGAAGTCTCCTCACCGCCAGGCAGCCATGGGAGGCAGATGAAAAGAAACCTAATTTCTTCCTGAAAATGGCTGATCCCTGTTCCCAGTGTGAGCCATACCTGACAGGCTGAGTGTACTTGAGGAGAGTTTTGGTAAATACTGGGGTTCCTGAGCTGGTTAATTGTGTTTTTCCCTCCACTGGGATGGAACACCACTTGCAGCAATGTGCTGTGTAGGAAACACTGGTCCCCAAGCACACTAGCTTTTAGTGCAGCGAGCAAATCTTCCCTGTCTCTTTGGCCGGGCCATTCCACCTCCCTGACATTAAGAAGCACTTTGGAGCACTCCTTGGGGCTGCAGCTGGGTCATCCATGAAGAGACTCTGACACAGGGCAGGAGCTTGACAAAAGCCATTCCCCGAGCCCGCCTCTCTGGGCTCTGACACACAGCGTAGGTCCAGAAAGATGCTCTGGAGCTGGTGACAGAAGCCCAAAGGAGGCTGGAACAGAAAGAGGGAGATTCAGAAGGCGTGGGCGCAGAGTCCTCAGCTGCTGCCCTCCATAGCTCAACCTGCGGCTGGCCGTGTTTACCCTGATTGGGAGTTGAAGGCAGTGCTAAGATCTGGGTCTCAAAGAGCCCAGCAGAAACAGGAATAGGTTAAGAGGCTAGTGGCTCCTGGGGAAAGTGCTGTGTGCCTGGTGGTGGCCAGACATGTCACTGAGAAGGTTAGAGTCTTGAAACCCTGTGAGCCGGTCAGTCAGGCTTGCCAGTGTCATTGGCCTAATTAGGTAGTGTCACCTCAGAGCACTAACACACACACACACAGGAGTGCATAGAGAGGTATAAATGAGCTAGTGTGGTGACACACTGTAATCCCAGCTCTCAGGAGGCTGAGGCAGCGGGATTGTTGTAAGTTCAAGGCTAGCCAGGGCTACAGAGTAAGACCCTGTCTCAAGAACAAACTGGGAGCTGGAGAGATGGCTCATCAGTTAAGGGCACTGGCTGTTCTTGCAGAGGACCTGGTTTAGTTCCCAGCACCCACATGGCAGCTAACAACCATCCATAACTCCAGTTCCAGGGGATCTGACATCCTCTTCTGGCCTCTGGGGACATTGCACGATATGGGTGCACTTACATATTTGCAAGCAAAACACTCATATGCTTAAAACTAGCATAAATTATATAAAAATGGGCATGATTTAAAAGAAAAAAAAAAGGATTGGTGAAATGGCTCAGCAGTAAAGCTGCTTTGGGCTAAGCTTGATAAGTTTAGTTTAGTCCCTGTGACCCACATAGTAGAAGGAAAGCACTGACTCCTGCAAGTCACCCTCTGACCTCCACATGTGTACACACACTGTTGACACAAAAGCACAACTCTCATCTCAAAGGGGATAAGAGACAATTTTTTCTGGAACCAAACATGAGTGACCATGGCCCTGGGATACAGATTCAGGTTACCCCCAAATTCCACTTCCCCATATGATAGCAGTTTCATGACGTTTTTATAGTAACAGAACAAAGAAAAGTCATAAATCAAGGTGATTTCATTGGTGGAAACACTAAGTAGGCGGATACAGCAAAAGAGAATCTTAACTCTAGGCCGCAGATGCTATTTGATGACAAAAGGCCTCAGCCTTTTGGTTGATGGAAGTTGGTGATCTGCTAAATTAGTACATTCCAAAGGCTTTTATCTGTTAGTCACAGGATGTTAAGTCAGGAACAGAGGTGGGCAAGGAGTGGCTATTTAGGGGGCTAAAGATAGTCCAAGGTAAATGATAATTGGGTTCTGGATCTGCAACATTCCAAACTTTCCACAATCACTGAAGTTCCAATCAGTTCATAAGCATTTGTAGAATGTTGTTTTTTCGTTTGTTTGTTTGGTTTGTTTTTTTTGTTTTTTGTCTTTTTGAGACAGGGTTTCCTTATAGTCCCAGATGTCCTGGAACTCACTATGTAGACCAGGCTGGCCTTGAACTCACAGAGATCCGCCTGCCTGTGCCTCCCAAGTGCTGGGACTACAGGCGTGCACCACCACGCCCGGCAGAATGTTCAGTTTTAAGATGCAGTTTTGGGGGGAATTTTCATTACAACACATACACACACAATAAATCAATGTAATTTTTTAAAAATTAAGGCATATTAGGTTGGCCCTGGTCCAGATCTGCTCGTGACTCTGAGCTGGTCTCTGGTCCTCTCTTCCTGACAATTGTGCACACCGCCTTAGGGAATTCTGATTCTCTCAAGATCATGGTCAGGATCCAGAAGGAGCCTCCTTTCCCAGTCAAGCCAAAAAGACTGTGCTTTGTGCTAAGGGCAGGCCTCTGACCTGGCTGGTCAGTATAACTTCTTGCTTCTGTTTCTTTAAAGGGAAAAATAATGTAAAGGCCAGGAAAGGGTGTGCAGCCGTAGCCTGGACGAATTGCATTTTTTTCCAATTGTTTCCTCAGCCTTTTGAAACTTCTTTTTCTCTGCAGTAATTCAGCCCAGGCTGGCCTCAAAATCCTCACCCTTCTGCTTCAACCTCAATTTATTACTTATTTACTTTTTCTTTTCATTGTTTGGTTTTGTTTGTTCTGAGACAGGGCTTTGCTATGTAGTCCTGGCTGGACTGGAACTCACAGAGACCACTGCCTCTGCCTCTCAAACACTAGAATTAAAGGCATGTACCACCACACCCAGCTTTATTTTTTAGAGTATTTGTATATGCCTGGTGTGTGTGTGTGTGTGTGTGTGTGTGTGTGTGTGTGCGCGAGCGCACGCGCATACGCGCACCACCTTTGTGCAGTGCCCATGGAGACCAGAAGAGGGTATCAGATTCCCCAGGTACCAGAGTTATAGGTAGTTGTGAGCTGCATGATGAGGGTGCTGGGAATTGAGCCCAGGTCCTCTACAAGAGCAAGAAGCGCTCTTAACCACCAAGCCATCTCTCCAGCCCCTTAGTGTTTGTTTTCTAAGGAAGACTTTCTTGACCCTCACAGTGGATCTGATTTCCAATGTTCACTGAAACGAATCTCTGATGAGATCCTACTAAACAAGGAGAGTTTGGCATGGAATCGGTTCACCCCTCACAGTAGCATTTTGCCTTAGACTTAACACAGTATATCGCAGAAGAGATTGGTATGCCAGTTAAGAGAAGAGCGATTATATCTGGGCACAGTTACACAGCCCTGTCATACCAGCACTCAGGAGGCCAGCATGAGTCACGAGTTCAAATCCAGCTTTGACTACAAAGTGGAACCCTACTTAAAAACACAAAAGTGAGCTGGGCGTGGTGGCGCACGCCTTTAATCCCAGCACTCGGGAGGCAGAGGCAGGCGGATCTCTGAGAGTTCAAGGCCAGCCTGGTCTCCATAGTGAATCCAGGACAGCTGCGGCTACAGGGAGACCCTGTCTCAAAAAGACCAAAAAAAAAAAAAAAAAAAAAAAAAGTGAAAAATCCAAACAAGAAATTCAGAGATGGAGCACAGGGTACTGTAGGCAGCAAAACTGTTATGCATGACCCCTTAGAAGGAGGCTACATGGGTGTGCATCTGGCAAAACCCAGAGGATTGTGCAGCCCAAAGACTGAACTTCAACTTAACCATGGCGTTGACAGCTAGTTAATTATAAGGTATCAATATCAATCTGTCCCCTGAAACAGCTGCACTGCAGCAGGGTTAAAAACAGGTGTGTGCAGTTAGAGGTTGGGCTTATCCTGATCCCCTCCTCACCACCACAAAAGAAAAAAGGGGAGGAGGTGATGGATGGAAGGAGAGGGGATTTACAGAAACTCTGGCCTTCCTGTTCAATTTTTCTGTAAACCTAAAACTGTAAGTTAAAAAAAAAATACAGTACGATACTTTTTTTTTTTTTTTAAGAACTTCAGTGGTTTGTGTGTTTGTGTGCCAAGATGGACAAACGGCTGGCAAGCTCTATATAAAATGTTCCCAGGAGCCTGGAGCCAGGAGATTAGGATTCACAGACCATCTTCCAGATTATTCTGACTTGTTTTGCCCACCCCTGCAACATGTATTTTAACAGGTTGCTGTTAAAAATTGAGGAGACTATAAAACCATTTTTTCCAACAAGAAGTAGTAAATCTGAAAACATAAATGTGTATTTAATCATGATTTCTGTTCTCTGGAAATTAAAAGCCATTTCAGGGTAGAATTCCAAGAAAGGCCAGGCTGCTTACAGAAGCTCCACCACAGCAGTTAACTCCGCCCCGGAGGCGTAGGCCTGCCTGGTTTGCATAGCCCCGCCCTCCCCGAGAAACCGAAACTGAAACGCAGCTCAGTCCAGGCTCAGTGCCAGGCTCAGTCCAGGCGCTGGAGATAAGGACCAGCAAGCCACAGAGACTGCACTTCCTGGCTGACCATGGTGCAGGAGCTCAGAAACACCCGGGCCAGGGACCTGGACAGGTTCATAGAGGACCATCTCCTTCCAGACACGTACTTCCGGTACCATATCAAAGTAGCCATCAGCACGGTGTGCGACTTCCTAAAGGAAAGATGCTTCCTACAGACTGCCCACCCCGTGCGGGTCTCCAAGGTGCTGAAGGTGAGCCCTGCGATGCCCGACCTGACCAGGATGGGGTGGGAGAGGATTCCCTGGAAGCCAGGCTGCAGAGCTGAGCCTGCATGGCTGTTGGCTCTCACCCACCCTTCCCACGTTTAATCACAGCTCTTCAGTGGGTTCTGCCCAGAGGCCCTACATCTAAGCTCTAGAAAGAGCCCTGGCTAAGCTTATGTTCCACTGGGCCATGCCGCATCCACTTCCGAGACAGGGAAACTGAGGCCCTGCTCAAGTAAACAATTTGCTGATGGGTGGAAGGGTAGGGACTTAACACTTCTAACCAGCTTGTGAGTTGGCTAAGAATTGAGCAGGTATCAACCTCTGGCTATGAGACCTTAAACAAGTCACCCACACCTCCAGACATCTCTCAGGGAGACAGATTTGTCCAGCATGAGGCCATCTGGGGTGTATAGCAATCGAAGGACCCAGGAGACAGAACAACTGGCAGGAAGGAAGCCCCCACATGCTGTGTGTGAATGGACTGAGAGACTCCCTAAGCAAACAACTTAAAGTCACTGTGAATGCTGTAGAAATGGAGTTTGGGGGTTATTCTTTAAGATATTATTTTTTAATTGTATGTAGGGGTGGGGTGTACACAGGAGAGTAAATGTGCCCCTAGAGTCCAGAAGAGGACATCAGCTCCTTTGGATTTGAATTAGTTGTGAGCTGCCCAATGTGGGTGTTGAAAGCCAAACTCAGTTTCTCTGCAAGAGTAGCAAGTGCTCTTAATTGCTGAGCCATTTCTCTAGGCTCAGAAGTGGAGTTTAGTAATTCCCACTCAACAGTGGCTGGTAGGTGTGTTAGTGACTTCAGCATTCAAGTTTTATTTTTTTTATTTTATTTTATTTTATTTTATTTTATTTTATGTGTATGAGTGTTTTGCCTGAGTGTATGTAAGTGCATTTGTGCCATGTAGTGCCCAAGGAGGGCCTTGGATTCCCCTGGAACTGGAGTTAGAGGTGGTTGTTAGTCACCATGTGGGTGAACCGAGTATTCTGCAACAATAGCTGGTGCTCCTAACCGTTGAGCCATCTCTCCAGCCCTTTTTTCAAGCTATTTATTAAGAAGGGCTCTTTTCAATATCAGTTGCTGTTCTTTTTATTTAAAAGTTTACAGATGTGGTTATCTTTTACTGCTTTTTCTTTTGTTCTGTGACTTTTTATATTATTACCATACTGGGTCACATAGGCCATTTTCATACAAGTATATAATGGACTTTGTGCTTATCCCCCGTACTCTGCTAATAATGGCTTTCATTATGGCAGTTTCATACACATGAAACTCCTCTCCATCCCTCCTCCCTATCTCTTCTCCCCATCCCTCCTCTCTTCTCTCTCCTCCTCTAAAATAGTCTCCCTTCTGCTGTCGTGTGTGTGTGTGTGTGTGTGTGTGTGTGTGTGTGATGCTAGATCGAGATTCCACAGGAGAGAAAATGTGATCTGCTGTCTCTGCCCCGTTACCCCCTCTTGCTCCCCCCTTCACGCTCCTCCCCCATGTCCCCAACATAGCCCCCTTATGTTGAACACATATTTAAATCTCGATTCCGCATATGAGAGGAAATGCTTGCTATTGGTCATTCAGAGCCTAGCTTAGTTTGCTTCACATGATGAGGTCCAGAACCATCTATTTTCTGCAAACATTTTCATTCTTTATGGCTGTCTAGAACTCTACCATGTCTATGAAGGCACCACACTCAAAGGCCGGACCGATGCCGACCTGGTTTCTTCCTGAATAATCTCACCAGTTTTGAGGAGCAGTTAACACGCCGGGGAGAGTTCATTGCGGAAATCAAGAGACAGCTGCAAGCCTGTCAGCGGGAGGAGCAGTTTCGTGTGAAGTTCGAGGTCCAGAGTTCATGGTGGCCCTTTTCCCGGGCACTCACCTTCAAGCTGAGCTCCCCGGAGCTCCAGGAGGAGGTGGAATTTGATGTCCTGCCGGACTATGACGCCCTGGGTGAATGAGCCAGTCAGAGCCTCAGCCTTTACAGGCCTCCATTTTTCATTTATTTCTCTTTCTTGTTTGTGTTATCTGTGCACATGGGTGCACGCATGTGAGAATGGGGGTGTTATGCAGGTTCACCTGGTGTGGTGTGATCATTGAGGCCAGAGATCAACCTCAGATGTTGTTCCTCAGGTGTTGTCCAACTTTTGTTTTGAGACATGGTCTGTGTCTGTCTGGTGCGCCACAGTTCAGCTAGGCTGGCTGGCCAGAAAGTCCTAGAGATTCTCCTGTCTCCACCTCCCCAGGGCTGGGAACACAACCCTGTGCCACCACACCACACCATGCTTTCAACCTGAGTGCTAGAGCTCCAAGTCAGGTCCTCGTGATTGTGGGGCAAGCCTTGTAGTCACTGAGCCATCTTCCCAGGGTATATCCTCTATTCTGAGCTGAGAAATTTACCCAGGCAGCATATCTCTTTAAAGCTGTGGTGTGGAGGGGGAATTTTAGAATTCTGGGGGGGCCAAGAATCCAGCATAGAAAGTATACACATAGCAAGTTGGCATCGTCTGTGAAAAGGGATCCACAGAACACCTGTACCAGTTCTGTTCGTGGCTGTGTGAATTTTGTCTCTCTGAAAATGGGGCAGTGGAGAACTACCTGAAAGTTAACTCCCAGTACATCTTCCTCCCAAAGAGTAAGAAACCTCAGTCCTGTGCTGAGGGAGATGTCTGCAGGGGTGTTTGCATGGGATGGGCTTCTCTGAGGAACAGTGTCCACAGTAGGAAAACTGGTAATGCGCCCCCAACAACCAACAACACACACACATACACACACACACACACACACACACACACACACGTTACACCATTAAATATTAAATCAGCATGTACACTGAGATCTTACACCATACCTGGCACATAGTAGGACTTCCAAATAAGGAATTCCTCGATTCCACCCACAGACCCCCAGGAACACAACACTGAAAGCACCCTGGACCTAGGTGAGGTTTACATTTTGGAGGGAAATACAGCGACACCTGGTGGACACTGCACAAACTGTTACCAGCCACTTTTATGAATCCCTCTTGTTTAGGGAAGCCATGAAAAGCACATTGAAGCTTTCACATAGAAGAAAATGAGAAGGTCTTGGGTTATGTGGGGTGCAGGAAGCCATGAAAAGCACATTGAAGCTTTCACATAGAAGAAAATGAGAAGGTCTTGGGTTATGTGGGGTGCAGGATGAGTGGTTAGAGAGAGAGAGAGAGAGAGAGAGAGAGAAGAGGAGAGGAGAGAGAGAGATATCCAGATCCAGATCCATGCACAGGGACCCACAAGGGCAAAAGCCTGTACTGGGAATGGAGCCCCTGTGGTGCACAGAGTACTGTGGCCCATTGCTGTGGTCCAGACTTGGGCCTGTTCCCTGAACCCGCAGCCAGTGAGCTTGTCTCCCCAAGGGACCAAAAGAACCTCAGAGAAGGGCTGACATCTTAAAATGAATGAACCCATCTTAACAGGTCATGTCCACAAATACAGCAGGCCTGACCCCCAAGTCTACACCCGCCTCATCCAGGAGTGCACCAAACTGGGAAAGGAAGGGGAGTTCTCCACCTGCTTCACTGAGCTCCAGCGTAACTTCCTGAAGCAGCGGCCAGCCAAGCTGAAGAGTCTCATCCGCCTTGTCAAGCACTGGTACCAACTGGTACAGTACCTTGCCCAGACACTGTGGGCTTCATCTGTACAGGAAGTGAGATGGAGGAAGGGAGGAGGAGGGAGAAGGGAGGAAATGAGAGAGAAGCAAGAGAGGTGAAGGGGGTGGGAAGGGAGGGTGATGCCAGAAGAGGGAGAAAGAAGGGCAGAGAGGAAGGTCTTCCATGCTTTATTCTCAATGATTTCGTGCAATCTACTTTCCAATTAACTATTCTCTTTAGCTGTGTCTAATTATTTGTTCACTTGTCATTTTTATGCTTGGATTTCTTTTTCAAACATTCCATGTCACTCTCCAAGACTTCTAATTCTCTGTAATTTCAAGCAATTATTTCTTTAAATACACTATTCTTAGTTATTTTCTGGGTATCTTTTATGTGTATGTGGTATGTGTGTGAGTGTATGAGTATATATACCTTTCATGGGAGCACATGTGTATGCTCATACATTGTCTGCATGTGTTTGTGGAGGCCAAAGATCAATGTCAGGAGTCTGCCTCAATCATACCCCACCTTGGGTATTGAGCCACTTGAACTTAGAACTTGCTGGTTCAGCTGGTCTAGCTATTCAACTTGCTATGGGGTCCTCTGATTCCATCTTCTGAAACTGGAGTTACAGGTGGTCTTCCACACCCACCTGGCATTTATATGTGTGTTGGGGATGTGAACTCCTGTCTCAGGCTGCTTAGCAAGCACTTTACCCACTGAGCCATGTCCCCAGCCCTTCCTAGTTATTTCAAAGCCTTAAATTCAGTCCTTTGATGTTAAAGCTCATTACTACCCCACCCCTGGGCTATCAGTCATGGTGTCTTGATTCCTTATCTGCCTGGTTCTCTATGTGCTGGTCACTGAAAATTATGTGTGAAAAAGAGAATGAGGCTCTGCAAGTTCATGTTCCAAAAGGAAATCGGGGTAGAGGCAGGTTTCATACCACATCAGTAAAAAGCACAGCCTGGGATCAGCCAGGGCTCAGCACACTGGCTTTGTAAGGATTGGACAATGAGTGTTTCAGACTCTGTGGACCACACAGTCTCCATCACAACCACTCAGCTCTTGGGTCCAGTATGGAGGCATCCACAGACAGTATCTAAAGGAATGGGAGTGGCTGTGTGTCAATGAGACTTTATTCACTAAATCAGGTGGCAGGCTGGATTTAGTCATGAGAAATGGACTTTCCACAAATGCTGGATTACCCCGTTTTCTAACTGTCTGTCCTCCTCTCAGTGTAAGAAGAAGCTTGGGAGCCCGCTGCCCCCACAGTATGCCCTGGAGCTGCTCACAGTCTACGCATGGGAACGTGGGTGTGGAGCCCATGAGTTCAACACAGCCCAGGGATTTCTGACCGTCTTGGAACTAATCATGAACTACAGGCAGCTTCGCATCTACTGGACTGAGTATTATGATTTTGAACATGAGAATATTTCCAACTACCTGCATTCACAGCTCACAAAAGTCAGGTATCTGTCCCTGTGTGGCTCATCTCCAGGCAGAGAGGGCCTGGCTGGGGTTCCATGGAAAGGGGAGGTGGGAGGCCATGTTAACTGAGCATCTCCTGTCCTGTCCCCTCCCTGGGCACTGATCTGCTGTCACCTGATCCACACAAGGACCTCCAAGCCTGGAAGGCAGAGCTGGGCTCCCCTTGCCACAGAAGATTGAATCAAGGCTCTGAGCTGGTCCAAACCTGAACAGAACCTGAGGGGAGTGGGCAGGACAGTGACTGAGGTAGCCCAGCAGGAACAATAGCAAGGGCTCTGAGGCACTGGAAGCGGCTGCTACACTCATGGACAGTAGACGGCACGAGGGCAAGCATCTTTGCTGTGCTATGTACGGCTCTCACCCCATCATTTGAGACCACAGGGTCAACTCTCCTCATCTCACAGATCAGAGAGGCCAAGACCCGCCAAGGACACATAGCTAGCAAAGGGCAGAGGATTGTGATCCAGGCCTGCCAGGTCATGGGCGAGGCTCTCTGCACACTGTGGGAAGGGGCCTGAGGCCATGCCAGGGGCAGGGGTAACCTGCTGGGCTGCTCCCCTGCCCCAGGCTGCTGTCAGAAGAAGGCAGGTGCTTGGACACTGCCCAGGTCCTCACTGTCCCTCTCTGATCCTTACTCTGCAGGCCTGTGGTCCTGGACCCCGCTGACCCTACAGGAAACGTAGCTGGTGGGAACTCAAAGGGCTGGCAGCGGCTGGCAGGAGAGGCTAAGGCCTGGCTGCAGTACCCATGCTTTAAGAAATGGGATGGGTCCGTAATCGGCTCCTGGGATGTACCGGTGAGACCTTCTGCTTTCTCCCTGTCATCATCCCCCTCTCCTTGGGACAGCTTTGGACACTCTCCATCCAGCTGGGCAGTGTTCTCACAGAGAAGCTGTGTTTTGCTAAAGGCGCCCACACCTGCCCACACTCAGGGAGTCTGCGCCTCACCTTCATAGTCATTTACAGTCAGAGACTTTCCTGTCACTGCAGAGTTCATGCCACTCAGAGTCCTACCGAATAGCAGCCTCTGCTCACTGACTCCCCGTGGGCCCAGACTCCATTCAAAGGCCTTTAGTATACATGACCTTCCTACATCCTGACAACTGCACCCCAAGAAATGGTCAGTAACACCCCATCTTGCAGATGAGAAAAGGAGGCAAGTGCACAAACCTGAGGAACAACAGCTGGATTCCACATGTACTCACACATGAACAACAGCTGGGTTCCACATGTACTCACACATGTACAACAGCTGGGTTCCACATGTACTCACATGAACAACAGCTGTGTTCCACAAGTACTCACACATGAACAACAGCTGGATTCCACATGTACTCACACATGTACAACAGCTGGGTTCCACATGTACTCACATGAACAACAGCTGGGTTCCACATGTACTCACACATGAACAACAGCTGGATTCCACATGTACTCACACATGAACAACAGCTGGGTTCCACATGTACTCACATGAACAACAGCTGTGTTCCACAAGTACTCACACATGAACAACAGCTGGATTCCACATGTACTCACACATGTACAACAGCTGGGTTCCACATGTACTCACATGAACAACAGCTGTGTTCCACAAGTACTCACACATGAACAACAGCTGGATTCCACATGTACTCACACATGTACAACAGCTGGGTTCCACATGTACTCACATGAACAACAGCTGGGTTCCACATGTACTCACACATGAACAACAGCTGGGTTCCACATGTACTCACACATGAACAACAGCTGGGTTCCACATGTACTCACACATGAACAACAGCTGGGTTCCACATGTGCTCACACATGAACAACACCTGGGTTCCACATGTGCTCACACATGAACAACAGCTGGGTTCCACATGTACTCACACATGAACAACAGCTGGGTTCCACATGTACTCACACATGAACAACAGCTGGGTTCCACATGTACTCACACACATGCACCTGTGCACACACAAACCAACACAAATACATAAAGAGAGAGAATGGGAAAAGAAGGCTTAGAGAGGTGAAGCCACTTCATCAGGGATGCACAGCCAAGGAATGTCGGGCCTGCGATTCAGGCTCGGTGGACACTGAAGCCAGTGTTCACTGTCTCCCATGAAGCGGCCTGTCTTTCTTCATCCTGTCACCATCTAACCAATGGGACACTCAAGGTGGACTGCCTCACACAACCAAAGAGGGGCAGGTGGGCTTAAACATGGGTCTTTCCACTCCACTGGCAGGGATCTTTCTGATGATTAACACCCAATGATGTCATGGTAGGGCTCAGGATAGAGCCCCTATGGGTGAAGGACCGAGCCTTGGGAGGTTAGGAAGGATCTGGGGGAGGACATGTGGGGAGGGTGAGAGGGATGAGGGAGCTGGGCCTGCAGGAGCCTTTAGGGCTGTCCCACAGCAGACTGGTGGCCAGGCTTCTCTCTCCCCCTTGACAGATCTGTCACTGAGTGTGGGTACCTTAGGTGGGGGCCTGGCCTGGAGGGGAGGGCCCTATGCACCCCTGGAGGGGCTGAGCCCTCAAGGTGGTCTTCTGGCCACCTTCCTAGCAGTGGGGATATGGGACTGGTACTTCTTCCCAGGGCTCCCGATGTCCAGTCATAGTAGCCGCCCTCAGAGCCCCTTCACCTCCCCTTCTGGCTGGAAGACTGGCTTCCAGTGTGACTGTGTGTGTTCCTTTACGGCCCGAGGTCGATGTGCCACACCTGCAGAGCAACAGTTTTCTTTATTTTTGGCTCTTTTTTCTGTTTTTGGTTTTGCTTTTTTTGATCCGGGATATTCGTTTATTTTTTCTCCTTCTGATTTTATTTGTTGTGTTCCGGACTTCTGCTACATAACCTAGACTGTCTGGAGCTCCCCGTCCTCCTGCTTTATCCCTCCAAGTGCTGGGATAATGGAAGTGTAGACCCAATGTTTTGATGTGGGCTGTGACTGACCTCATCACTCTACGCTTCACAAGTGAAGGAGAAGTGGGCATGCATCTTCCTGTGCTCACAGGCACCTGTGCAGAAAGGCCCCATAGTTTGGGGGATTTCCCTCAGATGCACACTCGGCCTTCACATAAAGAGAGCAGGAGGCTGCAACATGGTACCCAGTGATTGGGTGTCCAACCTGGCATCACAATCCAAGCCTTTGCACCCCTCCCGCCCACGCATCCATTCTGCCATATTACAGACAGCCATTCCCCACAGCCTCACTCACTTTATCCTCTGACAGTGTTCTCTGAGAGAGACAAGAGATACAGAGATTGAGGACTGGACTCTTCTCTGTGTACCTGATGGGAGGGTTCTGTCCAAATTTAGATCACTGATAATAAATAACAGCAGATGCCATGTATGATGTGTGTCGACTTTGAGGGATAGGCCTGAGAAGTACAGGTGCACATGTGTGTATATGTATGAGGGTATGGTGTGTGTGTGTGTGTGTGTGTGTGTGTGTGTGTATGTGTGTGTGTGTCCTGATTCCGCTAGACACATTTATTGAGCACTTGTTCTATGCTCAGTCTGAGTCCACTGGGAACTCAGCAGTGGATGGAACAGAACCAAACCCCTGTGGAGCATTGTTAGACAGTAGATGGCCTTGGTTCCTGCCACGTCTCTCATTACAAGTAATCCCAAGACATGGATCCTGGGCCATTCCTTTCCATGTCTCTAAGGAAAACTTCTAGAACTGTTCTGACACAGTAGCCACAGTGACCACTGAGCACTGAATGTGGTCAGTGAAAACCGAGATGTGCTGTGAGCACAGCAAGTGGCTGGGGTTCCACACTCTGCACCAAGGATAAGAAGAGTGTTAAATTCTTGACCACGGAAGATTTTAAAACTTGGTTGTCTGTGGAGATGGTTAGTGTTTGATGCACTGTGTTAAGTCAAATCTGCGTTGCCTTCCTTCCTTCCTTCCTTCCTTCCTTCCTTCCTTCCTTCCGTCCTTCCTTCCTTCCTTTTTCTTTCTGAGACGTAATCTTATTATGTGGCTCAGACTGGCCTGAAACTCCCAGCAATTTTCCTGCCTCAGCCTCCCATGTGCTAGGATTATACATGTGAGCAACTGTCTTGTATACTTTTCTATTTATTTTTTTCATTTTTATTGAAGTTTTGCAATTTTCATACATTATATTTTGATCATATTTAGACCCCCTCCCCATCTGCACGCCCATCTTTTTCAAAATCTTATTTTTTTAACAAGAGCATAAGGTAAGGACTTATTTACAGAAGAGTGGGCGCCTCATACTTACGGCTGCACCGTAAAGTCCACACTCAAATACAGATCCTGTGACCTCCCGACAGCCCCACAAAATGCTGAGAGAGGTGCCTCTTGGTGTTCTTGGCATATATAGATCCATTGCCCCTCCCCCACGTGCAGCTAAGGTCGACTGATTGGGTGGGGGGGTAACTGACTCCTCCCTCGACTCCTTGATAAGCATGGGAAGGAGGTGTGACTATAACTTGCCAGCATAGTGGTTGGAGGACAATTCCAGGTAACACTACACCCCTTCCTCCAGCTCTTACATTCTTTCCACCAACCTCTAATCAAAAGTCCCTGAGCCTTGGAGGGGGTGGTAGGTGTGCGTGATCTTCCTCCCATTGTGGCAAGGCACTGAACTTTCGGGATTCTACACCATTTGTTTTCCATGGGCTGTTGGCCAGTTTCAGTGGGATTGCATCTAGTGTAAAAATACACACTGCAAAAAGCAAGAATATCTAAACTCTCAAAATCTTAAAGCAGTTCCTAGAAAATATAAAACAACCCATGTAGTTTGCATCATGTCTGTTGGACAGCTCTGCCCTGGCAGGTGAGTCGCCTGGTTAAAGAACAGGCCAAGGAGCTGGGCGAGGGCTTAGTCAGTAGAGGATTTTCCTTGTAAGCCTGACGACCTGAATATTCAACTGCCCAAAACCCACATAAAAAAATAAACATGGTGGCATGCACTTGTAATCCCTGAGCTCTAGAAATAGTGACAGGTGAGCTCAAGGTCAATGAGAATCTGTTTTTATATTTATTTATTATTTATTTATTTATTTATTTATTTTTGGTCTTTCTTTGAGCAGGGTCTCCCTGTAGCCCCAGCTGGCCTGGAACTCACTATGTAGACCAGGCTGGCCTTGAATTCTCAGAGATCCGCCAGCCTCTGCCTCCCAAGTGCTAGGATTAAAGGTGTGCACCACCACACCTGGCTTGAGAATCTGTTTTTAAAAGCAAGGTAGAGGGACTGGAGAGATGACTCAGTGGTTAAGAGCACTGGCTGTTCTTGCAGAAGACCAGGTTAGAATCCCAAGACCCACATGGTGGCTAATAATGATCTGTAACTCCAGTTCCAGGAGATTTGATGCCCTCTTCTGTCCTCCATGGGCACCGCACAACATGGGTGCACTTACATACATAACATATGCAAACATAACACTCATACACATAAAATAAAAATAAATACATAAAAATTGAAAACAAGATAGATAGAACCTGGGGGGAAAATACTCAATTCTGGCCTCCATATAAAGGTGTGTACACATGGACATACATGTACCTACCACACAAACACACAGAAGAGCAGGCTAACATGGTTCCCTTTGCCACTTTCACAGTCTTTAATGTCAGGAACCAGCAGCTCATGTGTAAGACTCAAACTATAAAAACCCCACAACTACAAAAGTCTCACATGTGCCCTTCTTACCCAAGCCCACCCCCCCCATCTCAAAGGTCAAAGGGGATCTGCAAGGCCCTCATTCATCCAGTTCTCACTTCGGAGACCCTAAGATCCAGGAGCACTAATATTCCAGGTGGGAACAGATGGCTGTCCTTCAGCCACAGAGCAAGTCACCCTCCTGCTTTTTGCTTTATCTAGTCCTCTGTGAATCCAACAATGTTGGTCTCCACCTCCCATCTTTCCTGAAACACCCTACCAAATACACAGAAATGTTTCAGTAAACAGGGTCTCTAGACCTAAAATCCCCCAGTGAAGGGCTGGGGTTGTAGCTCAGTTGTAGAACACTTACTCAGCATGCGGGAAGTCTGGGTTCACCTCCACCCTGGGGGAAGGAGAGGAACAAAAGCAATATTTGGAGTAGTCTGTGCTTTTGATATCAGATGTCGTAGCTATGGAAACACTGCTAAGACCATGTCATGCTTTCCTCCTTTCCTTCCAGTTTTTTTGTTTTGTTTTTGGTTTTTTAATGCCTGAGCCATGATTCCATTTCTGTTGGTTTTTGTATATGGTGTGAGGTAAGGATGTGATTTCATTCTTTTGCATGCAGTCATCCAGTTTTCCCAATTCATTTTGTTGAAGAGACTTTCCAATCCCCATATGTGTTCTTGGTAGTCTTGTCAATAGCTAACCATTTTTATATTTGATCTTGTCAAAAATCAGTTAACTCATGTGAGGCCAGACAAAAATCCACAAATGGGCAGTTGGGACAAGACCAAGCTAAAAAGCTTTGCCCAGCAAAGGAAGCAGTCAACAGACATTTCTGGAGATGCCCTCATAGACACAGCCATGTTTCCAAGGGGTTCTAAAGCTAGCCAAGCTGACAACGAAAACCACCCACCACAGGCCATTAGAGGAAGTCAAGGAAGGATGACTCAAGGGGAGCTCCTGTGATACAAGGTCCCTTGCCTAATTTTTTATCTAAAGTGAGTTTCAGAGCAGAACCCCCTGAATGAATTTGTTCCACACCGGGGAACAGATCCCTGTGGCACCATGGTGTACAGAGTAATGTTTTCCCCGAAACAGATACCACTTATTTGGTGGATATGAACTGGAGAGAAGGGAGTGCCTGACTCCTTGGAAGACTGCTGGGCAGGAGATGAAAGTGGATGACAGGGCACAGACCCCAAAGTGACTGTCATCAGGCCCTGCCACTTCCCTTGCTGTGATGGGTGGCAAGCCAGAAACAACATGGTGTCTACAGAGAGAGGAAAGAGCAGGAATTAAGAACTCCTACAGCCAACAGGTTCTTGGGTAGGTCCAGTCTGTACTGAGCATAACCCCACCTCATAGGCCTTGGCAGGCAGACACCAGGGTATGAAAGTGTCAAGTGAGGGGTGAGATGCCCCATTTCCCCAATGTGACACAGACCTCTAGGGCTCTGGATGGACCCTTGTCACTTGCTATGGAAATTATAGTCTCTTTGAATGAAAGAAGATTCTTCATGGCCCTGTTGTCATAGAAGCCCAATCCTGAAACCATGGGGCTCATTCATTAAGTGCTCAGTGACTGCAGTGCTGCTTATGGCAGAATGCTCTCAAAGTTCCACACAAGAAGATCATGTGTGGCCACTGCACATCGTGACAGACACACACACACACACACACACACACACATACATGCACAGGCACCTGTACCTCTCGGACCTATCTCTCCAACTTGACACACATTGTCCATGGCGTTTGCTATTATTTATTGTCAATGATCTAAAATTGAACACAACTGTCCCAACAGGTACACAGAGGAGAGTCCAGGTCGAATTCCCAATTTCTGTCTAAATCTCTCTTGTCTCTCTCAGAGAACACTTCAGAGGATAAAGTGGATGAGGCTGTGGGGAATGATATGTGATAAGGCAGAATGGAAGTGTGGGAGGGAGGGGTGTGATGCCAGGTTGGACACTCAATCATTGGAAAGACCATGTAGTCATGTCATCGTTCCTCTTTATGTGAAGGCCATGCCTGCAAGCGAGCATCCCCCTGATTCCAGAATTTTTCTGGCAGGTGCTGTTGGGCTCACAGGATAGTGCAGGTCCAGTTGTCTTCCCCCTGAGGAGAGTTGAGGAAGGAGGAAACCCCAGGCACAGATGAAAACACCAGGTCTACATCCTATTATCCCAGCACTTGGGAGGTTAAGGGAAGAGGGAAGTGAGATCCAGACCAGTCTGGGCTTCATAGAAGAAGCTGGAATAAAACCAACAGAAACAAAAAGAGTGAAAACCAAAAAATACTAACCTGCAGGTGTGGCACATCGACCTCGGGCTGCAAAGGAAAACACATAATTACACTGGGAGCTGATCTTTTCTGCCCAGAAGGGAAAGTAAAAGAGCTCTGAGGGTGGCTACCATGACTGGACATCTGGATTCCTGGGAAAAAGGGCCAGTCCCACATCCCCACTGCTGGGAAGGTGGTCAGAAGACCACCTTGAGAGCTCAGTCCCTCCAGGGTGCATAGTGCCCTCCCCTACAGGCCAGGCTCCCACCTAAGGCGCTCCCACTGAGTGACAGATCTGTCAAGAGGGAGAGAGAGGCCTGGCCACCAGTCTGCCATGGAACAGCCCTAAAGGCCCCTGCAGCCCCAGCTTCCTCATCCCTCTCACCCTCCCACCATGTCCTCTCACAGGTCCTTCCTGACCTCCCAATACTTGGTTCCTTTACCCCTGGGGTCTCCATCCTGAGCCCAACCATGACATCATTGGTTGTCAACCATGCATCAAAAAGACCCCTGCCAGTGGAGTGGAAAGACCCATGTTTAAACCCACCTGCCCCTCTTTGGTTGTGTGAGGCAGCCCACCTTGAGTGTCCCATGGGTCAGATGGTGACAGGATGAGGAAAGACAGGCCGCTTCATGGGAGACAGTGAACACTGGCTTTGGTGTCCACCAAGCCTGAATCGCAGCCCCGACATTCCCTGGCTGTGCATCCCTGATCAAGTGGCTTTGATTCTCTGAGCTTCCTCTTTTCTGTGTCAGGTTTGTTGCACTTAGTTGTAGAAGCCATACGTCAACGTTGGCTGCCATTCCTCTGTCCACTTGTTATATTCAGAAAAGCCACTGGCCTGGCCTCACCAAGTAGGTTGGGCTGGCCTAACAGCAAGCCGCAGGGATCCTCCTGTGTGGCACCCCAGCACTGACTCCAGATCCACATCTCCATGCCTGGCTTCCTTACTTGGGTTCCAAAGATACACTCAGCTCTATATACTTACTTGCACAAACATCCTAGCCATAGATAGGCTCAGCTTTATATACTTACTTGCAGACATCCTAGCCATCTGCTCATCCCTTAAGCCTCCATTTCTCATCTACAAGTGGGGTGTTACTGACCATTTCTTGGGGAGCAGTTGTCAGGATGTAGGAAGGTCATGTATACTAAAGGCCTTTGAATGGAGTCTGGGCCCACGGGGAGTCAGTGAGCAGAGGCTGCTATTCGGTAGGACTCTGAGTGGCATGAACTCTGCAGTGACAGGAAAGTCTCTGACTGTAAATGACTATGAAGGTGAGGCGCAGACTCCCTGAGTGTGGGCAGGTGTGGGCGCCTTTAGCAAAACACAGCTTCTCTGTGAGAACACTGCCCAGCTGGATGGAGAGTGTCCAAAGCTGTCCCAAGGAGAGGGGGATGATGACAGGGAGAAAGCAGAAGGTCTCACCGGTACATCCCAGGAGCCGATTACGGACCCATCCCATTTCTTAAAGCATGGGTACTGCAGCCAGGCCTTAGCCTCTCCTGCCAGCCGCTGCCAGCCCTTTGAGTTCCCACCAGCTACGTTTCCTGTAGGGTCAGCGGGGTCCAGGACCACAGGCCTGCACAGTAAGGATCAGAGAGGGACAGTGAGGACCTGGGCAGTGTCCAAGCACCTGCCTTCTTCTGACAGCAGCCTGGGGCAGGGGAGCAGCCCAGCAGGTCACCCCTGCCCCTGGCATGGCCTCAGGCCCCTTCCCACAGTGTGCAGAGAGCCTTGCCCATGACCTGGCAGGCTTGGATCACAATCCTCTGCCCTTTGCTAGCTATGTGTCCTTGGCAGGTCTTGGCCTCTCTGATCTGTGAGATGAGGAGAGTTGACCCTGTGGTCTCAAATGATGGGGTGAGAGCCGGACATAGCACAGCAAAGATGCTTGCCCTCGTGTCGTCTACTGTCCATGAGTGTAGCAGCCGCTTCCAGTGCCTCAGAGCCCTTGCTATTGTTCCTGCTGGGCTACCTCAGTCACTGTCCTGCCCACTCCCCTCAGGTTCTGTTCAGGTTTGGACCAGCTCAGAGCCTTGATTCAATCTTCTGTGGCAAGGGGAGCCCAGCTCTGCCTTCCAGGCTTGGAGGTCCTTGTGTGGATCAGGTGACAGCAGATCAGTGCCCAGGGAGGGGACAGGACAGGAGATGCTCAGTTAACATGGCCTCCCACCTCCCCTTTCCATGGAACCCCAGCCAGGCCCTCTCTGCCTGGAGATGAGCCACACAGGGACAGATACCTGACTTTTGTGAGCTGTGAATGCAGGTAGTTGGAAATATTCTCATTTTCAAAATCATAATACTCAGTCCAGTAGATGCGAAGCTGCCAGTAGTTCATGACTAGTTCCAAGACAGTTAGAAACCCCTGGGCTGTGTTGAACTCATGGGCTCCACACCCACGTTCCCATGCATAGACTGTGAGCAGCTCCAGGGCATACTGTGGGGGCAGCGGGCTCCCAAGCTTCTCCTTACACTAAGAGGAGGACAGACAGTCAGAAAATGGGGTAATCCAGCATTTATGGAAAGTCCATTTCTCATGACTAAATCCAGCCTGCCACCTGATTTAGTGAATAAAGTCTCATTGACACACAGCCACGCCCATTCCTTTAGATACTGTCTGTGGATGCCTCCATACTGGACCCAAGAGCTGAGCGGTTGTGATGGAGACTGTGTGGTTCACAGAGTCTGAAACACTCATTGTCCAATCCTTACAAAGCCAGTGTGCTGAGCCCTGGCTGATTCCAGGCTGTGCTTTTTACCGATGTGGTATGAAACCTGCCTCTACCCTGATTTCCTTTTGGAACATGAACTTGCAGAGCCTCATTCTCCTTTTCACACATAATTTTCAGTGACCAGCACATAGAGAACCAGGCAGATAAGGAATCAAGAAGACACCATGACTGATAGCCTAGGGGTAGGGCCAGTAATGAACTTTTAACATTGAAGGACTGAGCTCAGGCTTTGAAATAAGTAGAAAGAAGGGCTGGAGAGAAGGCTCAATGGTTAAGAGCACTGACTGCTCTTGCAGAGGACCCGAGTTTGATTCCCAGCGCCGACATGGCAGCTAACAACTGTCTGTAACTCCAGTTTCACGGGATCTGATACCTTCTTTAACCTTCAAGGGCACTGCATAACACTGACACACCTACCTACATGCAGGCAATACATAATAAACATAAAATAAAATAATAAATAAAAATTTAAAAATAACTAATGAATAAAAGAGAAAATGAAACTATAGTATTAAAAAAAAAAAAAAACTAGGAAAGACTAGGGACGTGGCTCAGTGGGTAAAGTGCTTACTGAGCAGACTGAGACAGGAGTTCGCATCCCTAACACACATATAAATGCCAGGTGGGTGTGGAAGTCCACCTGTAACTCCAGTTTCAGAAGATGGAATCAGATGACCCCACAGCAAGTTGAATAGCCAGACCAGCTGAATCAGGAAACTCTTGGTTCAAATGTGAGACCCTGGCTCAATACCCAAGGAGGGGTGTGATTAAGGAAGGCTCCTGACATTGACCTCTGGCCTCCACATACACATGCAGACAATGTGAGCACATGCATGTGCTCCCATGAAAGGTATACATACTTATACTACACACACATATCACACAGAAAATATCTAGAAAATAACTAAGAATAGTGTGTTTAAAGAAACAATAGCTTTTAATGGCAGCAATCAGAAGTTACAGAGAGTGACGTGGAAGATCTGCAAAAGAACGAAATGGAAATCCAAGAGAAAAAAATGACAAGTGAACAGATGGATTAGACACAGCTAAAGAGTAAAGTGGTCAGTTAGAAAGTGGGAGAGAGGAAATCATTCAGAACAAAGCATGGAAGACCTTCTTCCTCCCCTCCCTGCTTTCTCCTTCCTCCAGCATCACCCTCCCTTGCCATCCCTTCACCCTTGCTTCTCTCTCATTCCCTCTCATCCCCCCTTCCCTACATCTGCTTCTCCTCCCTTCTCTTCTTTCCTCACTCTTCCCCGCCAACATCTCTGCTCCCTGTGCAAAGGGAACCCACAGTGGCTGGTAGAGGCGCCATACCATTTGGTACCAGTGCTTGACAAGGCGGATGAGACTCTTCAGCTTGGCTGGCCGCTGCTTCAGGAAGTTGCGCTGGAGCTCAGTGAAGCAGGTGGAGAACTCCCCTTCCTTTCCCAGTTTGGTGCACTCCTGGATGAGGCGGGTGTAGACTTGGGGGTCAGGCCTGCTGTATTTGTGGACATGACCTGTTAAGATGGGTTCATTAATTTTAAGATGTCAGCCCTTCTCTGAGGTTCTTTTGGTCCCTTGGGGAGACAAGCTCACTGGCTGTGGGTTCAGGGAACAGGCCCGAGTCTGGACCACAGCTATGGGCCACAGCATACCTCAGGATTACATACGTACTGGAGGCCCTGTGAATGACAGCGGAGCTGAACAGTTCCTGTCCCCAGAGATCATGTCATTCCAGCTCCATACCTTACTCACAGGTCTGAGGGAACAAACCACAGCACTGGCAATTGTTCAAGAGATTGGCAGCAGGGGGGCTGGCGAGATGGCTCAGCGGTTAAGAGAAAGAATGACAACTGAACAGATAGACTAGACATAGCTAAAGAGTAAAGTGGTTAGTTGGAAAGTGGGAGAGAAGAAATCACTCAGAATAAAGCATGGAAGACCTTGTTCTTGCGGAAGACCCAGGTTCAAATCCCAGCACCCACATGGCAGCTAACGACTGCCCATAACTCCAGTCCCAGGGGATCCAACAGCCTCTTCTGACGTCAGTGGGCATTGCATGACATGGGTGTATTTACCTACATGTAGGCAATACACACATACACATAAAAATAATAAATAAAATTAAAAAACAAAAAAAAGATTGGCAGCAGGATTATCTGATACCAAATTTCCATGTTCCCATGTCTAGGTATTTTCTGTACTGTGCTTGTCATCTGCCAATATGCCTGCTCATCTGAAGTTTACCGTGGCGGAGTCTGCTGCTTTCAAATGGCACATATCTCATTGTTTACAGTGTCTTTTCTATTTTTGTATATGGTATATGTGTATGTTGTATGTGGTCTATGTTGTTGGCAGTACATGCATGTTGGGAGGCCAGAGGGAGGATGTTTGGTGTCATCCTTTATCATTCTCCACTTTGTTCCATCGAGGCAGGGTCTCTCCTTGAGCCTAGAGCTAGGCTGGCTGTTAGTAGGCATCAGGGATCTTTCTTTCTCTGCCTCCCCTGCTCCAGTGATGAGGCCCATATATGGCCATGCCCTGCTTTTACATAGGTTCTGGAACTCGGGTCCTCATGCTTGTGAACCAGCCTGTCTTTCCTCCTCCCATCCCCATCTGACCATTGGGACACTCAAGTGGGCTGTGTCACACAGGCAAAGAGGGACAGAGGAACTTGAACTTGCGTCTCTACACTCCAGGGGCAGGAGTCTTTTTGATGCTCGGCAACTGGTGATGTCATGGTGGGCTCAGGATGGATTCTCTATAGTGTAGGAATTTCCTCTTAGATAAAGCCTTCCATCTGGGAAGGAAGCTGGGTAAACATCAGGACCTTTCTAAAGGCAGGTAAAGTATTCCCTCCTGCTCATTAAGCTCAGGAAGTAAACAATAGCTTCAGGAAGTCCTTGACCTTGACCAGGTTCACTAGGACCCTTCCTTTACAAGAATACCTATAAGCCCTAAGAACTGCTGAGAGATGTTCTCAAATCAGCCAAGACACCTGGAAGAAGCATAGCTGCCTGAAACACAAGCAGAGAGTAGTGGAGCTGCCCAGGAAAGACAGTCTCCAACAGGCTGAGCTGCCTGAAGATTGTGCAGTGTGCTCCAGGTTGCCTGCTTTTGTGAGTTGTCACCCATGCTGGGGTGGGCTTTGATGATGCAGCTGTCTTTTTAAAAAAATATTTTACTATTTTTATTTTATGTGTGTGAGTATATTGCCTGCATGTATGTAAGTGCACCCATGTCATACAATGCCCACAGAGGTCAGAAGACGGCGTCAGATCCCTGGAACTGGAGTTACTGATGGTTGTTAGCCACCATGTGGGATGCTGGGAACCAAACTTGGGTCATCTGCAAGAGCAGCCAGTGCTCTGAGCCACTGAACCGTCTCTCTAGCGCCCAATGAAGCTGTCTTTGAGTCATTTTGTTATGGAAAAATTCTTTGAACAGCTAAGTGATCAAGCATTCACTGAAGAGAGTCAGAGCTCATTTATTCTTTTCACATGCATGTGGTCTCAGAATTAACAACAAAGGTTTTAAGATTTTCTAGGCCCTGAACAGAAATACAGATGGGGCCTTTTTTTTTTTTGCTCCATTTTTTTGGAGGGGGGGGGTCCTGTTCATCTTCTATTTGTGCGTGTGGAAATGTGTGCAGGTGCAAGTACCCATAGGTGAACATTCAGAGGCCAGAAGGATGTTGGGCATCTTCCTCTAATGCTCTCTGCCTTTTAAAATTTTTTAAAATTTAGTTTTTTGGTCTCTTTGAGATAGGGTCTCCTTGTAGCCCCACCTGGCCTGGAACTCACTATGTAGACCAGGCTGGCCTTGAACTCACAGAGATCTGCCTGACTCTGCCTCCCGAGTGCTGGGATTAAAGGCGTGTACCACCACACCGGACACAGATGGGGCCTTTTTATGTCATCATTTTATGGCTGGCACCTGGGCCCTATGACTCTTTTCATGATGGACCATGTTATCTCAGGAAAAAATTCCTTCCTGAGTTCACCCAGTCATCATAGCTTACAAAATAGATATTCCAACCACGGTGGGACGTCTACCACCTTTTGATCTATAGCTAGGCCAGGCTAACTTGACCAAGAATCGGTCAAAGGGCCAGTACACTTTCACAAGCAAATCCCACTGGCAGAAGGTTAGGTATGTGTCACATTTGATCTATACTTTTCCTAGACTGATTGGACCTGGCGCCTCATTAAACCACTTGGTGAGCCTTCCATTCTTTTAGTTTTACATCCTTTTCCACAGTCAGACATAGTGAGCTGACCTTCACAGAGCTTCAAGGCATTAATTACAGGGTGATAAACATTTCAGGGTAGTGAAAACACCACAGAGCAATAAAACATCACTGAGCATCCCAGGGTTACATGTTAAGATCTCTACCTTATAAGTAAACAAAGAAAATTTCAAAATAGTCTAAGTTTAAAAAAAGATTATATAAGAATGCAGCTAGTTATAAGAATAGAATTTCTTAAGTAACCCTTCACCTATACTCCTGTAAGTAACCCCAATAAAACTCATTGGCTCACTAAGTTGGACATTGGTGGTATCCTTACTTTGGTCTGTCATTGGTTCTCTACCTGGAATGAGTAGATGTTTGTTCTTAACAGTTCCCATGGGTGAAGGGCCATTGAAACCAATCCTCAGGAAGTCAGAAAGGATGTGAGAGAGGGCTTAGAGGTGGGGATGGAGGTGAGAGGGATGAGGGAGTGAGTGTGGGGGCTTTAGGGCTGTCCCACAGCAGTCCGGTAGCCAGGTCTCTCTCTACCCCATGGCAAATCTGTCCATGAGTGTGGGGAACTCAAGTGAAGGCCTGGCCTGCAGGGCAGGACTCTATACACACTGGAGGGCTGAGCTTTGAAGAAGGTGACTTGCTAGCCACCTTCCCTGAGGTGGGGATATGGAAGTGGTCCTTCCCCTCAGGACTCCAGGAAGCACTCTTCAAAGCTCCTTAACCTTCACTTCTGGGTAGGAAGACCAGTTTCTGGTGTGATGGCCTGTTTTCCTTTGCAGCTGCACCTACCAGCCCATGCAGGTGAGCTGGCCTCTGGCAAACACCTGCCCAGGTGTCTGCACACAAGTAAACCCCTTACACATACACTCCCCCACACAAAAGAGAAATAGAAGAAAACAGGGAGGTCTGTGCTGGCCAGGCTGAGGTTCTGGCTAGCTCACTCACCCAGGGCATCATAGGCTGGCAAGACATCAAACTCCACCTCCTGCTGGAACTGGGGGGAGCTCAGCTTGAAACTGAGTACCCGAGGGTTTGTCCACCATGAACTCTGGACCTCAAACTTCACACGAAACCTCTTTTCCTTCTCACAGGCTTGCAGCTGTCTCTTGATTTCCGCAATGAACTCTCCCCGGCGTGTTAACTGCTCCTCAAAACTGGTGAGATTATTCAGGAAGACAACCAGGTCGGCATCGGACCGGCCTTTGAGTGTGGTGCCTTTTCCGGAGGAGCCGCCCTAGAAGACCAGGATAAGAATAAGAACCACCAGCAGGGAGAGCCATGCCCAGCAGTCAAGATGTGGAGTAGCCTAGGTGTCCATTACCCAGGGTATAGAAAGTTTCACACATAGACATGGTAGAGTTCTAGACAGCCATAAAGAATGAAAATGTTTGCAGAAAATAGATGGTTCTGGACCTCATCATGTGAAGCAAACTAAGCTAGGCTCTGAATGACCAATAGCAAGCATTTCCTCTCATATGCGGAATCGAGATTTAAATATGTGTTCAACATAAGGGGGCTATGTTGGGGACATGGGGGAGGAGCGTGAAGGGGGGAGCAAGAGGGGGTAACGGGGCAGAGACAGCAGATCACATTTTCTCTCCTGTGGAATCTCGATCTAGCATCACACACACACACACACACACACACACACACACACGACAGCAGAAGGGAGACTATTTTAGAGGAGGAGAGAGAAGAGAGGAGGGATGGGGAGAAGAGATAGGGAGGAGGGATGGAGAGGAGTTTCATGTGTATGAAACTGCCATAATGAAAGCCATTATTAGCAGAGTACGGGGGATAAGCACAAAGTCCATTATATACTTGTATGAAAATGGCCTATGTGACCCAGTATGGTAATAATATAAAAAGTCACAGAACAAAAGTAAAAGCAGTGGGTGGCTTTCATTGTGTCAAAAGTCAATATGCTGATGACTGGGGGAGAATAGTCCCCTATAATTCTCCTCAGCAATGAACGCTGCATGATGCACTATCAACAATCCAAACAAGATGTTCCTGCTGGTGCAATAGTGGAGCATCTAATGTATATACAACCAGTAAATTTTCCATTGGATATAATGCCCGCTCCTAGGGGTAGAACACACATCTGGTACTGTAGACCAGGCCAACCCCCTGTGGCAGGGGAGAACACAAGCCCCAGTGGGGAAGCCACTGCAATTGTTTTGTTATGTGGATGTGATGCACCTGCTAAAGTACTGTCCAAGCATTTGTGTTCACACCCACAGGTTATTATAGCAGCCACTGTTTAGATATTCTTGCTTCTTGCTGTGTGTGTTTTTATACTAGATGCGAACACACATCTGGTACTGTAGACCAGGCCAACCCCCTGTGGCAGGGGAGAACACAAGCCCCAGTGGGGAAGCCACTGCAATTGTTTTGTTATGTGGATGTGATGCACCTGCTAAAGTACTGTCCAAGCATTTGTGTTCACACCCACAGGTCAAGTTATTATAGCAGTCACTGTTCAGATGTTCTTGCTTCTTGCTGTTTTTGTTTTTACACTAGATGTAAAACCAGGTGCTGGACATCTGGTTAACCCCTGGTGAAGGCAGAGGCTGGATACTGTCTTAGCAGGCCTGTGGTGGTGGTGGCTGGAGCTGCATGGCTGGGCAGCCTCCATTCTGTTCCACTGAAATGGGCCAACAGTCCATAGAAAACAGATGATGCAGAGACCTGGAAGTTCAGTGCCTTGCCACAATGGGAAGATCATCCCACACCTATCATCCCCTTCAAGGCTCAGGGACTTTTTCAGAAGCGGTTGGCAGAAAGGATGTAAGAGGCAGAGGAAGGGGTAGAGGGTTACCTGGGAGTATCCTCCACTAGGCTGGCAAGCTATAGCCACACCTCTTTCCCATGCTTGTCAAGGAGTCCAGGGCAGTCAGTTACCCCTCCCACCTAATCAGTCTACCTTAGCTGCATGTAGGGGAGGGGCTAAGGATATATAAGCCAAGAATGCCATAAGGCACCTCTCTCGCCATTTGTGAAGCTGTCAGGAAGTCACAGGATCTATATTTGAATGTGGACTTTCCAGCACAGCTGTAAATGGGGTGGTGCCCACTCTTCTGTAAGTATCCCCCACCCTATACTGTTAGCAAGCCCAATAAACTCATTAGGATTTTCAAAAATAAACCTTTCCACCCTTAAGTTGCTTTTGTCAGATATTTGCTCAGTGCATTAAGTTACCAATATACCCCTCGACTCAAATTTGTCTCAGCACACAGCCCATAGTCTGTGTCTGGGTTCACAGAAAGATCTGATATGCTTGAACCACAGCAAACTGATGGGGTGGACACAGCAGTTCACTGGCACCAAAGCCCCAGAAAAACCTCAATCCCTCCTGCCCCCACCCCAAAGTGACAAGAAGCAAACAGCCAGTAAATGAGTCCACATTAAGCATTCCTGGGCTAAGGTGGGACAGTCAGTTTTGACACTGTTATGAAAAAATCCAGCCTAATTTCTGTTCAAGTGCATCAAATTTACTGCCTAGATTCTCATTAACGACTGTCGAGGGAGAAGCAGATCGACAAGATAAATTATGAAAAAAATTACTTTTTTAATGTACAAAAGACTTATTTACAAGTTGAGTATGTCATCTCAATTCATAGCATGTAGAAAAAAGCTAAAAATGTTTGGCAATATAAATTTGGCCAGACGATTCACCTACAGTATATTCGGGGATGACACCGTCTGCATAAAATATATACAGATGGAGAATGGGAAAGTGTAGGGTCTATTTCAGGCAATAAGCCCACACCACCCCAGAGCCACAGGCCCATGACCATGTCTCATAGCTGTCATTTGGAGTTGGCCTTGTCTCTGGATTGTAAACAGAGGAGCTTGATGTGCTGGGACACAGAGGGTCCAGACTCCACTAAGATACACCCACCAAAGCCAAAGTCTTGGTCCGAAAGAAGCTCTAGGTGATACAGTTTAATTTGGCAAAGTTGCTATAAATTCAAAGAAGAGGTTTCAGATGGGGTGTGTGCATGTGTGTGGCATGTGTTCACTCTGCAGTGTGTTCAGGACTGATTCTTTTTGGAGTCAGTTTCCAAATGCCATTTCTTATGTGGGGCCTGGCCACATGGAATAAGAATTCAGTTAACAGTTCTTGGAGTCCAAGAATCAACCCCTTCGCTCTCCCGCCCTCCCCTAAACACCATGCATGTCATCATTCTATGCCAAATAACCCAGGGAGGGGAGCAGAGGTCAAGGGATCAGAAGATACTAAGACTGCTTGTGGTGGTTTGGCGTAGACTGCTGGCCATTCAGCATGGCCTAAAAGAGCTCTGGAACTTTCCACTTGAGGGTGGTCAGATATTGCATTGGAGAAATAGGACTGGGTAAACATGAGACTTCCTCTTCCTACCGGAAGGCCTCCTTTGCCTCGAGGCCTGGTCCTTCCCTAACCCATAGCAGCCCGAGGTATTTAGAAACAAGTGTTCTTTTCAGGAAGGGCTTCATTGTACATGCAAGAACACTGTAAACAAGTCAGGGGAGCCCCAGGCAGCTTCTGGGTTTGCCCCAGGGGGTACACTGTTTATATCTCCTTTTGATGTGTATTCTTTCTCAGAATACTCCAGGAAATCTGCTGTTTCATTCTGCTTGAGGGAACAGAGATGTTAGATCCATGGAATCTGGAATGGTACTCCACAGTATCCTGGGACAAGGCACTGGTTCCTCTGTAGCAGGCAACCTTGAACAGCTTCATTGAGGAATCCAGGAGTGGTGGAATGGCAAACCCATCTTCCCAGAGCAGACTATCCAGCACAGTCCCAGATTCAAAGCCAAATGTGGCTACCCCGCTCTTTGGGCATATACTTATAAAGCCCTTGGCCAATGTACTCTCTCATTAGCCAAATGACAGAGGCAAAGAAGCCAGAACAGAACAATCCCATAAACACTAAAGCTGGCAAGCATTGTGTAAACGAGTTTCTTTCTGAAAAAGATTTTTTTAGTGTTCAAAAAAAAAAGTCCAAAAAGCAGAGAAGATGCCTCAACCTTTTCTTAAAAT